CATAGTTGCACATGGTGACATCGCCTGTCTAGCATCATACACTCCTAACATCTAGCATATAAAGACATAGTTGAACATGGTGACATCGCCTGTCTAGCATCATACACTCCTAACATCTAGCATATAAAGACATAGTTGCACATGGTGACATCGCCAGTCTAGCATCATACACTCCTAACATCTAGCATATAAAGACATAGTTGCACATGGTGACATCGCCTGTGGAAGAAAGGTGTGGAATTGTTGGATTCTATATATTCTAATTCTACACCTTATTCCAAACATGAGGGCACACACGGAAATGCATTACTTCATGCAGTGAGCACTGTCAAACATGGACACTGAACGCAACAGAACATACCAAAACATACAGACAAGCACTAGTTTGGTCCTGAGTGTAGAATAATAAGGAAACAGTATCGATGTTTCAAACAGCTGGAACAATACGAATGTATAATTATACATGTACATTATTTATGGTAGTCGCTATTGTGTGGGTCGCTAAAGTTGTTGTTTATCGGATTTCCCCTTTGCAAGGGAGAGTAAACCCAACGTACTGTTAATATACTGAACCGCAAAAGAAACGTCACCCCAAGTAACATTGCATGAAAAGTTGTCATTTAAATATCTGGGTAATTTTTGTCAAAGTTTCTAAAATTAAACATTACCTTGTCCGGCAAAATTAAATTTGATGCTACAAAAACAAAGCAGATGACAATAAAACCGATCGCCTAAACGCATCACGGCAACGGCCATGGTAACCCGAGTGCAAATTGAAATGCACATGCGTTCCCCCATTTCTTGCCCTATAAAAATCCACCCAGATCGGATAACATTCATTCGTTATTGAATTGCTACCACATGCCAAGATTGACAAGAAATCAGCGACACCAAGCCCTTGGATGATTGCAAGCTGGACAAACCGCCCGGCATGTAGCCAATGCATTTCAAATCCACGTAAGGACCATATACAGGCTCAAGCAACAGTACTAGACCACCAGCACTACAGATGACCGACCACGGAGTGGAAGACCAAGGGTCACCACCCGACGTCAGAATCGTCAGATTGTGCGACAAAATCACCAAGATCGCTTTGTTACTGCTGCGGAAGTGCTCGACAGACCACCAGCGACACATAAGTGCGGACAACGTGCGTCGACGATTGACGAGCAGACACCTCCACTGTCACAGGCCACAGGACCACGTCATCGCCGGGACCGTCTTCAGTGGGCAACACAGCACCAGTATTGGCGCCACCAGCAGTGGAGACGAGTCCTCTTCTCAGACGAGAGCCGTTACTGTATCTCAAAAGCAGATTGCAGAGAGAGAGAGCGTCTGGCGACGCCGTGGGGAACGTTATTCGGATGCTTGTGTTGTTGAGAGAGACCCGTGGGAAGGTCTCAGCATCATGGTGTGGGGTCGAATTGGTCTTGCACAGAGGGTCGGCCCTGTGGTCTTCCAGAACATCGGTCCAGGGAGAGGCAATGGTGTCACAGCAGCTCGGTACTTTGATCAAGTCTTGAGACCACACGCCATACCTCATTTGGCACGTAGCCGCAACGTCGAGTTCGGGCATGATAACGCCCGTGTCCACACTGCGAGAGCAACAAGAGACTTCCTACAGCAGAATGGCATCAGAACCATGCTGTGGTCTGCCCTCAGTCCCGATATAAATCCCATTGAGCACCTGTGGGACGAGATTCAAAGACGGCTGAATGACGTCCGACCACGCAAGGCCGACAACTGCAGCTGAACTGTATCAGGCGTTCCTCAGAGTGTGGGCTCAAGCGCCTATGGCCTTCATCAATCGCCTCATCCATTCCGTGTATCGAAGTTGAACGGCAGTCATCAATGCACATGGCGGACACACGAGATACTGACTTGTGATGCCATTTTCTCAGAGACTCGTGTTGTGTTGGCACTTTAATTTCAACATTGATGATCAGTTTTGCCAAGTTTCATCTTTTTAATATGTCTCAAAGTATGTTTACAGTGTTTGGACAAATAAGGATTCTGATATATCTATTCATGGTGATGTTTCTTTTGCGGTTCAGTATAGTTTATCATTCTCACTGTTTGTTTTGTAGTTGCAACCAACGTTTCGTGTCTATTTGGGACCTATTGTTCAGTCGGAGTGACCGTTGCCGAATCATAAAACATCCTATAATAATAGCGACTATTGAGCTGTTTAGACAACGGAGAAGCTTGAGGCATTCATGAAGTCAAGAAATTTGTGAAGTCTTGTTATTGTGGAATGTAGCCATGAATGAAGTATAGGCATTTGTGAAATATATATATTGATGAAGTCCTGACATTAGTGAAATCTAGACATGTGTGCATGACTGCATTGTACAAGTTTTCAGTGCCGTGTCTATTTCGGGGAGTCAACAAACATTCTACTAAATGTCTATTCTAGTATTCCCACATGATTTATGTTTTTTGCTATAAATGTTTCACACACAGAACTAGTGAATCATATGATTCCGTGCAGTTATCATATATATTGCATATAGAAAACCCAGACATGGCATACGTGTATTTCCCAGATTATTGTTGCGGGGTTCAGTTAATTTTTCGCCACATAAATACTTACGGAGGTACATTCAATATTTGTAGGATCCCTCTCCGCCATGTAAATATATTTTAATTACTTCGTGTAGTAAAGTCGTCACGCCCAAAACCCGGGTTCGATTCCCGACATGGGTAAAATGTGTGAAGCCCATTTCTGGTCTCCCCTGCTGTGATGTTGCTGGAATATTGCTAAAAGCGGCGTAAAACCACACTCACTAACTCACTCACTCGTGTAGTAAAGATCAGCAGTGGGGATGACCTTATCATGTTGGTGTACTTTCTCATCGTGTTGTGCCAGCCAATGTTCGCCTGTTGGGTCACGGCTATGACCATCTCAAAAAGTTTGTTAACAATGAAGTATATTGAGTCTAAACTTAGTGTCCCCGTCGTGGTATGACTGGAATATTGCCAAAACGGCGTACTTACCAACACATGTTTATTGTGTATTTGCCTAGGTAGCTGGTGATACCTGTAGGTTGCATCCTTCCATGATAATGTAAATATCACCTAAACAGGACAGTACAACATGGATGTCTGTCGAAAACAGTTTCGTTAGTTTATTACACTGATCGCTGCGAGATACCGTATTGCTACCACTACCACGGAGCCGTACCCAAACGTCGAGGGAGCAAACATCCGGCTTTCCAGCCTAGCTTGGTGGAGACAGCATCTGAGGTTCAGAAGAGTGAGTGAGTGAGTTAAAGCTTAACGTCACATCGGCAATATCTCAGCCATATCGTGACGAAACAAAATTAACATTAACAATATATATTAAGTAGTACACAATTCTGCCGACGAAGGGCAGTATAAAAACTAGCATATCACAGATTATCGTAAAACTAGTTTGAATATGTTAAAAGAGATAACTAACGTAATCATTTGACAACACATTATAAAAACGGGCTATAGATCGCCACCAACTGAAGGTTGATCACCGCGCTGGGGACCATGGGGACTTACAGTACTTTTGCTACCTGCATGGACCCCAGTCGGATTTACATCATCCCTCCAGTTGTTAGCGACGACTGACATAATTTAGCCAAACATTAAAAGAACAAGACGGTGACAGTATATTGCTGTTTTTGTTTGTAAACATATCTTTTAACAAAAGATTAAAACAGCATCCGAGAAAAAGTGATATTCGTTTTCACATGTTTAGTTTTTGACAAAAAGACATTAAATAAATCTTCATAGAGGGAACTACATGAAGGTCCCTGACGAGTATATATTTGCTCTTCTATCCCCAGACAAGAAGTCACAAGGGGTATATGTATTTCTGGTGTAACACTACATTTAAACGCGTTAGTATTCAGCCTTGAGAAAGGTTATTCCATAATATGTGTGTCCGGTATGCAAGGTTGCTGGTAGGTAACGATACGAGCGAGTGGAACACTAACATTGTTTCTGTGTGTAAGGTTATGGTGACTTCTGTTGGCTACTTGCGGTGGTAACAGGCCGTTCCAATAAGCTGGACATAAGTTGTTAACAATGTATTGTAAGTACATATATTGTTTAATTTGTACGTCTGCCTGATAGTGTCTCCATCCTGTGTCATTATATAAACTAATTCGAGATGTATACTGAGGAAGGCCAGTAACTATTCTTGCTGATTCCAGTTGCATCTTTCCCAAGTTTGTCCGAGTTGACATAGGTACAATGATCCCACACTTCAGATGCGTATTCGAGAAGAGTTCGTTTGAAACCAATGTAGCGTTTGGGTGATGTTGTCCAGGCAAGTACATATTTAATCTTTCGTCAAGAAAATATCACTTTAGATGTAGAGTTGCTTATTCTGTCAATACTGGCGGACCATTTCATATCTTGGGATAAGAAAACACCGTGATGAAGTGATGTTTTACTATAGATCAAAGTAGGTTTGGCAATATTGTTTGTGTGACTGAATAATATGTATGTTGTTTTGTCGGGATTAAAGTTAACCAGCCAGTTATACTCCCAGCTGACATCATGAATATCGATCTACGCAATTGGTATACGATGACCTATATCAACTAAGTCAGCGAGCCTGACCACCCGCCCCTCACGGCATTGTCGCCTCTTACGGCAAGCATGGGTTGCTGAAGACCGCTCCTAACCTGGATCGTCACGGGCCCCCAGTTTTGGATGTAACATTAGATCATACATCAAAGTTGATACATTACGGGTCGTTTCCCAACGCCAAATGAACCGCATCGATCTTAACATATTTCTTATGGTAGAAATATTTCGATGAGCACGTTTAATTTTATGGAATCGTTCAAAATATATTATTACGGGTTTCAACCCAACTTCCAAAAATTCATTTTTGAGAAAAAAAAATTAATAATTTAATTACATCATTAATATATATTTGTCTTTACTTCAAAAATGTCCCTTGTGAACGATTTAGCAGTTAAACATACTTCATACTTTTCTTGTTTACTGTTTTCCAGAAGGACCCTCAAAATCCCTGTCAAACAAGGCCATGTGACGTCACTGATATATGCGTACCTGTCAAGGCCACAACTCAGCATATTTGCTTGCAATACAGTAAGCAGACAACTCCACACACATTATATACCAAGAGAACAGTGCTCAAATGATGTCACATATGTATAATGTGAATGTCGCGATGCTGCTGGTTACTAACTATAAGACTAGTAGTTATGATCTCATATGGATATTTATTGTAAACTAAATATTAAGTTTCGAGTAATGTAATGTCTTAGGAATCGAAAAGACTAAATCGAGTCTTGCCCACGATAAATTAACTTCTTCCTTACAAACATGTCACATGTAGAATTGTCGACACGACCATATTGAAATCATGTCTACTCACAAGCGACCAATTATCGCCGAGGACCAATTATCGCAAACTCCCCGTTATAGCGCGCACGTGCTTGCACCTCGATTTACTTTTGCTCATTTTCATTAGAACTGAGGAATATTTATCCAACAGTGACAAACAAAACTGACTCGTGTGGACAAATATTTAAAAAGACACCATATAATCACCTTGCTCAAATCCAACTTTAGAAAGACACGCGGGCGGTGTCACGTGGCTAATTCATGCATAAACAAAAAAAAACACCAACACGATTATGCACTTTCAGTTCTGTCATAGCTTACTATCTGTCTGTCATTTCTTTCCCAAAATACAATTATAAATCCTATTTGAGCTATTTCTGCAAAAATGCATAACCCTGTATACCTCGTATAATACCTCGTATATCGCGACATCCATAGTACATAGTGTTGAGGATAAGCATGACTGTAAATCGAATTTGGGGAATGATTGTTGATGTCAGTTTGCAGAGCACAAATTGATAGCACTGTTTCTAATTAATTGTAATGAATATAAAAATTGAATGCGATACCAGAGAAAATCGAAAATGTATTTTGTATAAGTGAAGCGATGTACGTGATCATGTGGCACGTGCAGTTGGTCGACGAGACATTTCTTTGTCCATTGTTTTATATTCCATTTCGTCACGTCATAACAGAAATCTACTGAGACTTTTCCCACGGATAGAAATACGTGCATTCGCTCATAGTTGCACAAAAATCAAATTTCTTGGCACAGTTAATTTTTTACACGGAAATTATCAGAAATAGCATGATAAAATGACGATAACTGGTCGGTGTCCAGATTAGGTTCATATAGTCACGTAATTCATGATGTTTGTACACGTCTACTTTGATTCTAGATTCCATCTGTTCCTGTGGTCTCCCCGAAACCAAAGTGGGAAACGCCTCCCTCGTGTCAGCCCCGGACACGCCCACTGACCCCGCCCTTGCCCTGTATGCGTGTGATCACGGGTTTGCACGCGTGGCCGGAAGTAACACTACCACGTGTCAATCAGCAAAATGGTCGCAACTGACTCTTGTTTGTCACGGTACGTGGCTTGACGCCCATGTCTCTTCAAGTGTCGATTTAACGATCACAAGTTCGATTAACGAAACAATTCTCCGCTCCCAAATAAATCAGCAATATAACAAAAAAAATTAAATAGTACTGTGTCACGCCCTCGGTTAACACGACAACTGGAAGTCACAACATATTACTATGACGAACATGTCGCCACCGTTCTAGGTTATTTAATGTAACTTATATAATTAACCGTAATGTCTTTTAGAAATAACTTGTCTCTTTAAGTTCCTTTACGGTCGAGGAAGGAAATCCTTCTCTTATTATGATTATCATGTTGGTGTTATATAGCCTTAATGTCTTTTAGAAATAACTTGCACCTCAAGCCCCTGGATAATTCCGAATGCAACCCAAGGAACCATTACATCAAGCAAGTATGGGGCCACCGTCACATATACTTGCCAGGACGGTTACCGCAGCACCACAGGGAATACAAGCAGTTACTGCCAGGAGACGGGGGAATGGTCTGAACCAACTCTTCAGTGTGAAGGTACAAGCAGATATGAAAATCCGTAGTATACTGTAACATTACTGCTTCATCATGAGTGAGACAACCGAAACACAAAAAATCGAAGTGTTTTCGGTATAAAGGAAATTCAAACTACAAGACATTTCTTACTTCCATTCATAAATGCCTTCCAGAGTAAAACATCATTGACTTCGATCAGTACTTGTGATATTTGATCCGCAAGGCCAAAGAAAGTAGATGCGTCCCATGTTAAAGTTACAGTTATGACACCAGCTGCTCGCGAAACGGGTGAGCACATCCCACCCTTCAAGTAGCATATCCTGTAATTTACTCATTCTGAATAGAGTTGGGCTTGAACATCATCTGAGTGGATGTTCAAGGAGAAAATGATCACGGTGTCATATTGGTAGGTGTATCCTTGACTCCCCTGTGTTAAACCCAAGCTTTTAGACTAACAATCGACAGGGAATACCTTGGAAGATAGGTAAGTTATTATTCATTTGTTTTATACCTGGTGTCCCGATTGCGTTGGGGAGCCAAGTTGTTAGATCGGCTCCGTGTTCCATCCCCTTTGTGTGTATACTGTGTCAAGATGAATAGAAGTCGGTTTACTCTGAGAAGGAAAATGCTATGAGATTCAATCTTCTACATGACCATGTATATTTCAGAGATTAACTGTAATCTCCCTGTGTGGGTTATCCCAAACACAACATCGACCAACCTCTTGTCGTCCAAATATGGAGACACCGTCACGTACAGCTGTGCTGTTGGCTACACATACATGGAAGGAAATGATACAAGTTACTGTCAGGAAAACGCGGAATGGACGAAACCAACAATCACATGTCAAGGCAAGTGTTAACTCGCGCTTGTGACATAACCAGCAATTAGAATATTCATATCAATGTTAAGTGTACATTCATATCCAGAAGTGACGTATATTTAAGTGTGATTTCAAGGATATAAGGAATGTGATTAAAATAAGTTCACATGTGTTTCTGTGTTAACATGTACAGGTTGTAGTCTTGTAGTTGTCAGACATGTTCCAGGGACAAGTGTTAGCCCAGTGGTTGAAGTTTTACCCCGAAAAAACAAGTTCGATTCCCAACATTGGATTCATAATTTAAGTCATGTCTTGGTGTCCCCCAGGCGCGATATTGCTGAGATAGTGTTAAATGAGTTGTAAGCAAATACGATTCAGCATTGATTTATTAGCAGTGGAATCATTTTCGTATTAATAAGTTTAATCATTTCTATCAGTGATCCAGTGCCTTGAGGACATTCCCGCCATCCAAAACACAACCATAAGCATGACGTCATCAAACTATGCTGATATCGTCACATATTCGTGTGTAGATGGGTACAAGTACATTGGAGGGAATGGCACAAGTGTGTGTCAAGAATCCGCCACGTGGAGTCAAGCTACCATAGTTTGTGCAGGTAAATGTTCAAGACGTGTTGAAAGTAGGTATCGATTCCTTGGCAAATTACGGTTTATTAATTCGTCAAGAGAACTATAGAATCACGGGCATCTTGTTTCTTGGATGACTGCGAGGATTTACATGTTCGCTGCTTCACTACAAGTTGTAATACTTTATATTTAGGTTGTCACAGAGATCTCATTGCCATGGGTCACCCATGTACTCATGAAGATCTCTTTGACAAGGGTCGCCTGTTACTCCGAGAGCTCTCATTGACAAGGCTCGCCTGTTGTTACTCCGAGAGCTCTCATTGACAAGGATCGCCTGTTACTCAGAGAGCGCCCACATTGACAAGTATCGCCTGTTACTCAGAGATGTCTCATTGACAATGATCGCCAGTTACTCAGAGAGCGCTCATTGACAAGGATCGCCTGTTACTCTGAGATGTCTCACTGACAGGGATCGCCTGTTACTCTGAGATGTCTCATTGACAAGGATCGCCAGTTACTCAGAGAGCGCTCATTGACAAGGATCGCCAGTTACTCAGAGATGTCTCATTGACAAGGATCGCCTGTTACTCAGAGATGTCTCACTGACAGGGATCGCCTGTTACTCAGAGATGTCTCATTGACAAGGATCGCCTGTTACTCAGAGATGTCTCATTGACAAGGATCGCCTGTTACTCAGAGATGTCTCATTGACAAGGATCGCCAGTTACTCAGAGATGTCTCATTGACAAGGATCGCCAGTTACTCAGAGAGCGCTCATTGGCAAGGATCGCCAGTTACTCAGAGATGTCTCATTGACAAGGATCGCCTGTTACTCAGAGATGTCTCATTGACAAGGATCGCCTGTTACTCTGAGATGTCTCATTGACAAGGATCGCCAGTTACTCAGAGAGCGCTCATTGACAAGGATCGCCAGTTACTCAGAGATGTCTCATTGACAAGGATCGCCTGTTACTCAGAGATGTCTCACTGACAGGGATCGCCTGTTACTCAGAGATGTCTCATTGACAAGGATCGCCTGTTACTCAGAGATGTCTCACTGACAAGGATCGCCTGTTACTCAGAGATGTCTCACTGACAGGGATCGCCTGTTACTCAGAGATGTCTCATTGACAAGGATCGCCTGTTACTCAGAGATGTCTCATTGACAAGGATCGCCTGTTACTCAGAGATGTCTCATTGACAGGGATCGCCTGTTACTTTGTGATGTCTCATTGACAATGATCGCCAGTTACTCAGAGAGCGCTCATTGACAAGGATCGCCAGTTACTCAGAGATGTCTCATTGACAAGGATCGCCTGTTACTCAGAGATGTCTCACTGACAGGGATCGCCTGTTACTCAGAGATGTCTCATTGACAAGGATCGCCTGTTACTCAGAGATGTCTCACTGACAAGGATCGCCTGTTACTCAGAGATGTCTCACTGACAGGGATCGCCTGTTAATCAGAGATGTCTCATTGGCAAGGATCGCCTGTTACTCTGAGATGTCTCATTGACAAGGATCGCCTGTTGCTCAGAGATGTCTAATTGACAAGGATCGCCTGTTACTCAAAGATGTCTCATTGACAAGGATCGCCTGTTACTCAGAGATGTCTCATTGTCAAGGATCGCCTGTTACTCAAAGATGTCTCTTTGTCAAGGATCGCCTGTTACTCAGAGATGTCTCATTGGCAAGGATCGCCTGTAACTGTGAGATGTCTCATTGACAAGGATCGCCTGTTACTCAGAGATGTCTCATTGACAAGGATCGCCTGTTACTCAAAGATGTCTCATTGACAAGGATCGCCTGTTACTCAGAGATGTCTCATTGTCAAGGATCGCCTGTTACTCAGAGATGTCTCATTGACACGGATCGCCAGTTACTCAGAGATGTCTCATTGACAAGGATCGCCTGTTACTCAGAGATGTCTCACTGACAGGGATCGCCTGTTACTCAGAGATGTCTCATTGACAAGGATCGCCTGTTACTCAGAGATGTCTCACTGACAAGGATCGCCTGTTACTCAGAGATGTCTCACTGACAGGGATCGCCTGTTAATCAGAGATGTCTCATTGGCAAGGATCGCCTGTTACTCTGAGATGTCTCATTGACAAGGATCGCCTGTTGCTCAGAGATGTCTAATTGACAAGGATCGCCTGTTACTCAAAGATGTCTCATTGACAAGGATCGCCTGTTACTCAGAGATGTCTCATTGTCAAGGATCGCCTGTTACTCAAAGATGTCTCTTTGTCAAGGATCGCCTGTTACTCAGAGATGTCTCATTGGCAAGGATCGCCTGTAACTGTGAGATGTCTCATTGACAAGGATCGCCTGTTACTCAGAGATGTCTCATTGACAAGGATCGCCTGTTACTCAAAGATGTCTCATTGACAAGGATCGCCTGTTACTCAGAGATGTCTCATTGTCAAGGATCGCCTGTTACTCAAAGATGTCTCATTGGCAAGGATCGCCTGTTACTCAGAGATGTCTCATTGACAAGGATTGCCTGTTACTCTGAGATGTCTCATTGACAAGGATCGCCTGTTACTCAGATATGTCTCTTTAAGTTCCTTTACGGTCGAGGAAGGAAATCCTTCTCTTATTATGATTATCATGCTGGTGTTATATAGCCTTAATGTCTTTTAGAAATAACTTGCACCTCAAGCCCCTGGATAATTCCGAATGCAACCCAAGGAACCATTACATCAAGCAAGTATGGGGCCACCGTCACATATACTTGCCAGGACGGTTACCGCAGCACCACAGGGAATACAAGCAGTTACTGCCAGGAGACGGGGGAATGGTCTGAACCAACTCTTCAGTGTGAAGGTACAAGCAGATATGACAATTCGTAGTATACTGTAACATTACTGCTTCATCATGAAGGTACAAGCAGATATGACAATCCGTAGTAAACTGTAACATTACTGCTTCATCATGAAGGTACAAGCAAATATGACAATCCGTAGTAAACTGTAACATTACTGCTTCATCATGGAGGTACAAGCAGATATGACAATCCTTAGTAAACTGTAACATTACTGCTTCATCATGTAGGTACAATCAGATATGACAATCCGTAGTAAACTGTAACATTACTGCTTCATCATGAAGGTACAAGCAGATATGATGTTAGATTTGAAGATTATTCTTAATATGAACTTTTGCTCAGTCACAATAACGGAGGTGCAATATTTAACATATATGAAAACCAATAAACTGTTACAAGCATTTCAAAGACATTAAAACAACCATTATCAAAGAAGTTACAAATTCGCCTTTAAAGTAATAAGATTACCTACCATATGCCATTCTATCAACTATGAAACATTTCTGATTAGAAATTCGACGATTAAATAGTTTAGCAGGTACGATAATAAATTTCATTCTGTGGTATTCTACAAGACTTAAACAATGGGGATCATTAAATATACTGTCGGTGTATTACATCGCTACCAATGTGAGAACCTATTTATGTGACGGAGTATAAAGGACAAGCAGCCATTCCAGCGTATGATTTTAATATTTAAAATAGTGAACATAACTGAGTGTTGTCTTATGAACAATGGTAGTTATATTTTTTATTTACTGAATCAATTGTTTCACCTTGTATTGTCACGGACAAATGACTTTATGCATTCAAGATGAGAAGATGAATATTATTGGACACATATCGTATTGATATCGTGTTTGTGACCAAAGCCCGGGTTGGAATCCATTTGTTTGTATACTTTGTCAAGATGAATAGAAGTCGGTTTAAGAAAAGGCAATGAGATTCAATCTTCTACATGACCATGTATATTTCAGAGATTAACTGTAATCTCCCTGTGTGGGTTATCCCAAACACAACATCGACCAACCTCTTGTCGTCCAAATATGGAGACACCGTCACGTACAGCTGTGCTGTTGGCTACACATACATGGAAGGAAATGATACAAGTTACTGTCAGGAAAACGTGGAATGGTCGAAACCAACAATCACATGTCAAGGCAAGTGTTAACTCGCGCTTGTGACATAACCAGCAATTAGAATATTCATATCAATGTTAATCAAGTGTACATTCATATCCAGAAGTGACGTATATCTAAGTGTGATTTCAAGGATATAAGGATATAAGCTTTACCCCGAAAAAACAAGTTCGATTCCCAACATTGGATTCATAATTTAAGTCATGTCTTGGTGTCCCCCAGGCGCGATATTGCTGAGATATTGCTGAGATATTGCTGAGATATTGCTGAGATATTGCCGAGATATTGCTGAGATATTGCTGAGATATTGCCGAGATATTGCTGAGATATTACTGAGATATTGCTGAGATAGTGTTAACTGCGTTGTAAGCATATATTCAGCATTGATATTAGTTGCTGTTGAAGTATTTCGTAGTAATAAGTTTAATCATTTATTTCAGTGATCCAGTGCCTTGGGGACATTCCCGCCATCCAAAACACTACCATAAGCATGACGTCATCAAACTATGCTGATATGGTCACTTATTCGTGTGTAGATGGGTACAAGTACATTGGAGGGAATGGCACAAGTGTGTGTCAAGAATCCGCCACGTGGAGTCAAGCTACCATAGTTTGTGCAGGTAAATGTTCAAGACATGTGTTGAAAGTAGGTATCGACGAACATTCACACAATTACTGTTAATACTGAAGTCACAAACATTCAATTCTCTATAGGAATCTCATAGGAAAAAAAAGATTAAAAGTTTTGTCTTCAGCAACCCATGCTTGTAGTAAAAGGCGACTATGCTTGTCGTAAGAAGCAACTAACGGGATTGGGTGATCAGGCTCGCTGAGTTGGTTGATGTATGTATATCCCAAATTGCGTGGATCGATGTTCATGATGTCAATCTCTGGATTGTCTGGAAAATTAAGAAAAACGTTCGATATGTCAACTCGTCAGGAAAACTTCACTTAAGTCAAAATATTGCTCACATTACAGTTTGTGACTTCATTAACAATGAATGACGTTATAAGATATTGTTCTGAAAGAATGTAGCAGTGTGACATATCGCTTTGAGAATCGCTACACATGCAAATATCGGAACGTTACAATAATTATACTCAATCTGTCTACCCTTATGGCTACTAATTTCGTATTTGTGAAAATATATTAGACCATGTTTTCCTAAATATTCAATAACATTCTTGGGACGTAACATTTTTCATTTTGTCTCCACAGAATGGGAAGAGTGGGGTTGGAAGGTCCTCGACTTCTCGTCCCAGTACGGCGAAACAGGGTAACAGACCCACATGTTCAAACAGAGATTCTCACTTTACCCGAGTCGTAGGTGGCTCCGCAATTTTTCTGTCCAGAGTTGCGCCCCCTGAACTTTGAAAAGATCCGCTGATCGTTAGTTCCTACGCAATGTTTGTCAGCAGCTTACCCGTGCTTATCTGTTTCATGAACCTGGGCTCTGATATGTATCCCTGTGGGATTCCCTCCCACATTTAACGGACGAACAGTTCAAAGCTGTTTAAACTGAACTCACACACTCACTCATTGCGGCGTCAAACCTATCTCCCTCTCATAAAGTGTATGTATGGGTAAAATAAGTCCTAAGTCTTACTGAAAGGTTGAAACGGCGAGGTAATCTAATTATTAGCTCACCTGACTGAAAGTTAGGTAGCTTATAACATGACCTGCTTGTCCAAGGTCGTGACCGGCGTCGTCGGCGTCTGCGCCTGTAAACGTCTTCTCCTCAATTACAACTGGACCTATGAAGCTGAAACTTCCCATATTTAATCCCACCAATGAGGGCACCTGTATTTCTTCAAGAGGTGCGAGCGGCCCAGTCATTTAATGTCCTGCAATTCGGTGTTCAGATGTTACTACCCTTTTGCGTGTCACAAACTTATTCTCGGACCTATGGCCGCCAGGGCAGACACACAGAAAAGCTTTTACTGCCCATTATTCAGTCAGTTTTGTTCAAAGTGCAGCGACTGCACCGGGATGCAACATGCATGTTTCGATTTTTTGCAACAGATTAAAAGTTAAATGTACTTGACTATGCTCTAAACATATCTCAAAATGCATGTTTGGCTTTGTAAACGTCTTCTCCTCTCAAATTGCCAATGTATGCCATGTACGTTTTCTGTTATGCTTATATTTTGTTCATATTATTAGGGCTTAGTGTTAACTTTTAGTCCTCAATGTTTATGCTGAAAATATTTGAATATAAATGCTCACAGCAACTTTTGTTGCATGGCTTGACGTGGCTAAATGCTGGCTACATATCCAGGTGAACTACAGCGCCGTCACATTTTTAATTGATTCCTCTAATGCAATGGGACGACGACTCTAAACGACATACAGAAATAATTCTACCAAAAGGCAAGATTTCCTGACAAAATGGGTACCAACTTCTAAGTCTTCTTTGTATTTTGTAAATAAAATACCTTACGTAATATTGTTACTAATGGTATGTGTCTTTCCAACAGTTATCGTGCAGTGGAGATTCTAGGCGAGTTTGATCTGTATCCAAACTACGGAGATAAGGCGGGGGCTTGGGCTCCATTAAAGGGTAACTGTCCAAACGACAAGGAATGGATTGAGGTAATATATAAAAGCCAAATGTTACTTTTGCGGTCATTTAACTATTGCAATAGTATTGTATTGACAGAGTGAAAACGGATCCTTATAACTACTAGTATATATTGCCATATGCCATGCAAATCATTGATAGTTAAATATACTCATTTGCAAAATTCGAAAACAATAAATTGCTTAAGTTCACGATTCAACCCTGATCGCCGATTGAGCAGTCGTTTGTGACGGCAACAGCGTTAAGTATTGATGCTGTAATATACTGAGGGCAACAGAAAGTGTACCCAGTAATTGAAAACTGAAAGAACTGTTGTTAATGTTAATTATGTCTTTTAAACCATCACTCATTTCTGTAACAGTTTCTTACAAGTAATCTGTGGCTTTGTACTTCGTGTAAACATAAATATGTTCAATGAAGCCTGGGGTACATTGATTTGCACCCTCATCACCCCTACCATGTTTGAATGTTGTAAGTGTGTACTAAAAAAAACATTTTTTTATTTTTAAAGATAGGATGTCTAAGATACCAATCAACAGTTGTTTATTATGCGAAGAAATTTTATATTTCTATAATATTTAAAAGTTTTAAATCAAATTATAGTTTTAAAAATATAACCATGCAGAAGTATTCTGTGAGTGTTGACTGAGCGCCAGTACAGTTCATGTTTTGGATATAATGCCGCTAACTTAAGAACCCATGATAAAATCAGCTGAGAGGTATCGTTTCTTCTGCCCCTCAGTTTATGTCTTGAAGCTTAGGGAGGCCGCCTGACGATATTCCTGGCGGTGAATCCACCTGTCGTAGAACCAGCATGCCCAGCAAATAATATATTTTCTTCCAGTATTTCTTGAACAATATATTTTTTCAAAAGACTCCGCGAGCCCATACGAATCCCATATGTTGTGTTAAAGTGGGCGTAGGTCAAAACATTACACTGGGATCTCATGTTCAGTCGTATAATACTCCTTCCTCGAACACCGGTTGGGTCGACGTTCTCGTTGAATGGTTCAACGAGAGTAAACTCATATAAAACCACCTGAACCCATCTTCTGAAGCCCCGTTCAAGTGAGGTGAAGTGAAAAGGGGTTTGACGTCACGTTCAAGATTATTGCGCTTATATAGCGGTATGTGTGTGTGTGTGTGTGTGTGTGTGTGTGTGTGTGTGTGTGTGTGTGGCTGCTCGTACTAGTCCGGGCTGATGTCGATTGTATAGTACTAGCCCACTGAGATACCATGCCGCGGTTTTAATAACCCACTCAGACACATAATACATTGTTTTAGTCCCTTAATGCCGAACGCCAGGCAGGGTAAGAACACGTATCATCTTGCAACGTCTTTCTATATCTCGCCGCCGGTGATCGAACCCCCGACTTTCCGTTCTCCGGGCAGACGCTCTACCACTAGACCACGGAGGCGGTCCCTGGTGTAAGCCTCATTACCAATGCTATGTTCCAGGTACAGTTTGCGGAGTCCCTCTACATACGACGTATTGACATTTACGAAACCAATGTAGCCGGGGTTGTAAAGACTGTGTTCGTTGGGAAGGACGATGGTACATGGAGCACAATTTGGACAACTGTGTCAGTCACAAAGATAACACAAAGCAGAATCTTCTCTCCACAGTTCACGGTAACCCTGCAAAATGCTTAATGATCTCACAGCGCCTTCACAAAACATTTGGCAATACATTTTTGAAAGAGTCACAGAATCCACGGGGAAGAGAATGATTCTGACAAACTAAAGGCCACCATCAATCCGTCAATAACGTTATCTATAATAGTATTCCAGTTATATCACGGCGTGTCAGCTTAGTGAGGGAGGAAAGCCCGAAGTAAATGCAGGTATTAGACGTTTACCACTTCGGGTATGGTGCTGACAAACCAAGGAACATAATCGGAACGAACCGTGATTCGAACCCACAATCATAGGTTTCTAGCGTGCCCAAGGGACGCTAATCTATACGTGCCTCGTTATCTATTATTATTATTAATTAATACTATTATGACGACGATGATGATGATGATGTTAATTTCTCCACTGAATGAACTCTCAGTTAACATTGTCTTGCAGACGCCGGCATTCCTGTCCGACCGTGTCAGGTTTGAAACAGACTGTAGTACTGTCTCTAGAGACTGGGTGGAATTCGATGCCATCAAGATATTTGGGCTCAAATTCCCGCCATCGACCTGAGTGAAATCCGACTTCTCGTGGGCTCAGCGATTCCAATTCCACTCACACTGACAAATGGATTTACTGACACGTATAGTGCTTTTATCCTGTATTGAACTGTTCAGTGCTGTGTACATGGTGGGAAACAAGTGCAACTCAGGCCAATCTTAACCGTTGTATGACAGAGTGCTTACACTTAAAGATATTGTCTTTCAAACGATTTCTTATGGACCCATTTTTCAAGAAAGTTCCCATTTGTAAGATAACATTACTTTACCTGTTAAATCGTCACTGCACGTTTTATTGTTATAATGCGCAAGGAAAAAGGTACATTTGTTGCCACAGGATATGTATATTAGTTGATTGAATGTTTCAACAAAGTGTGCACCCTAATGATGTTTTCTTCTAACGGATTATGTTAGGATTCCATCCGCACACTGGTTCGTCACGGATAATCTTGACGATGACCTTTCTTGAATGTCTTGCAAAAACCTTATTTTTACCAACCTGCTTGGCACATGCGTAGAAAGGACTTAAATATCGACACGCAACTTATGACGTCTCCATGATCAGTACAAGCCAGGACGCCACACCACATAATAATACTGTATCACCAAATACTATGTAATATGTAATTAAATTATATGATATCATTGTGGTATTGATTCAAATTACCTCGATTCCTTGTAGAAAAAGACCAAGACCAAGGCATGAGTGAAGGTTTTGGGGTGAGGTGAAATTCAGTTTAACGTCACGTCCAGTGCATGCACGTGTGTGTGTTTGTGGGGGGTGGGGGGTGGGGGGGTCTGTTTGTACAATTCCAGACTAGCCCATTGAGATACCATGCCGCAGTTTAACATGTATACTCAACAACGAGACGAAACACAGTAAACTGACTCCGAGCCGACCAGTCCTTGTTTTGACCCCATCATGCCGAGCCCCGGCCTTCCGCTCTCCTGGCGGACACTAGACCACGGAGGCGGTCGTAGATGTATTATTAATTAGCGATATGTCATAAGGAGACAACATGAAAAGTACCTGCCGATTAAAGTTAAAAGAAAGAGAGTCGTATTCCACATAGGTTGTTACCGATTCAATCGTTTTGTTGGAGTTTTCGATTGTTCAAGAAGATGAAATATTGTTTATGATTTTTATGATTTCACCGATTTGTTAAAAAGCAAGATTGGCATATGGAAGGATAAAGACGTTTTTGCCATGGAATGTTTTAAATATTGAAATTATTTCATTTTGAATTGTGTTTGATTTGGTAAGCAATATTGGTGTTATGTTCATGTATGATAGTAGATCTTACTGACACACTGTACATAGAGTACCATGCATGTAGGATAGTAGATCTAAGAACCATGGAATGATGTGGTCTAACTGACACACTGTACATAGAGTACCATGCATGTAGGATAGTAGATCTAAGAACCATGGAATGATGTGGTCTAACTGACACACTGTACATAGAGTACCATGGATGTAGGATAGTAGATCTAAGAACCATGGAATGATGTGGTCTAACTGACACACTGTACATAGAGTACCATGCATGTAGGATAGTAGATCTAAGAACCATGGAATGATGTGGTCTAACTAACACACTGTACATAGAGTACCATGCATGTAGGATAGTACAAACACTGTACATAGAGTACAGATAGTAGATCTAAGAACCGTGCAATGATGTGGTCTGGCACACTGGACACAGAGTACAGATAGTAGATCTAAGAACCGTGCAATGATGTGGTCTGGCACACTGGACATAGAGTACAGATAGTAGATCTAAGAACCGTGCAATGATGTGGTCTGGCACACTGGACATAGAGTACAGATAGTAGATCTAAGAACCGTGCACTGATGAGTCTTATGCACGTACGTCATAAGCGGTATAATTTACACGAACTATATATGCCCGGCGCTTCGTTGACTTTCATTAATGACAAACGATGGATCGATATCTCATATAAAGTATCCTTTTCATATCCTCCGTCAAGGGAACCAAGGAGCTTGATTCTCGTCAATTCCTTATATGTCAACCAACCAACCAACCAACCATACACTTCACATATCACTATAAATGGTATTGATATTGCCCCGTTTTTCCTTTTTTATGTTAGCGACTCTGTTGTCTAGAATTTTACCGTAAACCAATTAAAATTATTGCTGTATTTGTGATTTCCTTATTAAATCAAATCAAATTGAATCTTACAGACACTTACAGATACATAAATATGCCGACCACCAAGTGCAGCTATGTGCTAGTGTTCCTCATATTGCAACGACTCTCCACACTTTATAAGCAGGGACATAGGTCTTATTAGAAATAATAAACAGTCTATTAATTTATTATAGGCGGTAGAAAAACTATGGCTGGCTGGTCGTGCGACACAATCATGTACACAACAAGCCGCGACCTTAACGATTTTGCGTCTCTGAATAATATGTTTGCTTTGATGGCGCTTAACATGCTGACGAGTAAAATATAAGAAGTCACATAATGAGTGTATACACCATGAATAAAAATATTGTCGAATTCATCAATATTCCCACAGCAACATCGACCAAAACACTTTTCGGTCTCGCGTTGTACTTCCTTATTAGAAGTTAACAAGATGATGTCTTAACGAGAGGTTAGGGCCGGATACACTTTTGTTTATTCGTCAGTATACCATCAAAGTGGCTTCAGTCAGATTGCCGGAGCGATTGTAACCAATACAACGTCAATTGTGTCAAGTCTTTGAATGACATTTCGAAGCTATACACATAAAGAGAAAATAAATAAATAAATGTTCCTCTTATCGGCGATCGATAGTGAGTAATGTGGCCTCTTCTATACTCCATGACCGTAAATATTAAATATCAAATATTCAGTTTTAGACGTTTCAGTGAAGTGATAAGAGATAACAGATTTAAAGACCAAACGTTGGGATGACATGATATGAGCGAGAAGCCAATGAGACCCGGCTATCTGTCCCGGGAGAATCAGTAGTGTGTGCTCCGAGTCTTTAACGATTGTCTTGCATCGTATATTCACGATAACATTCTAGCAGTTATTCTATATAGTTACACTTTATTCTTTTGTGAGCCAATGAATAATGCAGTTGTTAACCAAACAGAAACCTCCCTTAACCACAGCAGTTGTCCCGAGGTCATCTTATCAATTTGTGATGTCATAAAAAAGATATGATTGTTGATAATTATGTGTTTCACATCTATTCTTTCAGTTTATATGTAAGATATGAGATTTAAAACCCTCGGATGAGATTATGCCAGAAAGATATACATGTTTACATAGTGTGATATTCACCATAAACCATTAAGTTGGGTGCAGAGTTTCCAAGAGCTGCTGGAATTATATGAAATTTTAAATGCATTCTTTCTGTGATGCGTTTGTTTGTTGTTGTTTAACGCCGCACTCAGCAATATTCCACTAGTAGCATCGATCCACGCAACTTGGATACGATGACATCCATCAACCAAGTCAGCGAGATTTTTCTGTAAATATCGGTTTATATTTCTTTATTCATGATTGCTGAAACATTCTCATGCGATTGAGGAACGAAGTGCTCGTATTCAGACTGAATACCGTTTTACGCCGCTTTTAGCAATATTAATGCAATATCACACGGTGCGGAGGCACCAGCACTGGACTTCATACATTGTATCCGTGTGTGAAATGGAACCAGATGACTTTGTTTGTTTGTTGTTTAACGCCTCACTCTGTAATATTCCAGATGTACGACGGCGGTCTGTAAATAATCGAATCTGGACCAGACAATCAATTGATTGACATCATGAGCATCGATCCACACAAATGCGAGCCTGGCTAACTGATCCCATTAGTCGCCTCTCACGACAAGCATAGACCTATTCTAACCCGGATCTTATATATAATTATATACCTATAGACCAAATACGTCTGAGCTATACAATACAATAGGTACACTAATATAGGGAAAGTCAGTAGGACAGATTCAAGCGGTCGAGAACAATAGGTGGCTTTCATGTAATTGTAGAATTTAGTCAATATTATTCATACCATTGGCGTTTATAATTCACAATCCAAACAACGGTAGACTTCTATTTATTCAAAATTTTCATGAATTATACACACAATATCTATTGACTTTTTATTGACTATTTGCTCTGAAGTTTCTTCGTTTCTCCTCTTTAGTGAATCTGATCATTGTGAGTAATATTGGATCACGTCCGAGGACAATCAATAAACTGTCACTTCAGTGGAGAGCAAATTTCAAATTAAACTTGTCACCGGTTTAGAAAGTAATAAATAAGTATTTATTATAGGCGGTAGTCAAACCATGGCTGGCGGCACAATCATGTAAACAACAAGCCGCGGCCTTAACGATGTTGCGTCTCTAAATAATATGTTTGCTTTGATGGCGCTTAACACACTGACGAGTAAATAAAACAACAAATAAACATAGTTCAGAAGCTGTTGCCAGACACAACACCTGACAAGTGATACTAGCGGGAAATATGAGTATGTCATGCTTGATATTTTGTAAATTAGGTCTTCAACATGTTTGAATTTTAAAGAATTGTGTCCCGTGTTTATAGTATTAAGCAATATCAACACTCTCGCTTGACTGGGAACAACGTTCTGTCCCAGGAAACAGTAGGACTTTACAAAAGAAGATTGCTTTCCAACACTTTTAGAAATCGGAACATGTTCGAGAATGGACTTGTGTACAACAGAACACAGAAAATACATGCAAATTTTCAATGTAGAACTATGCTGTCTGTGGAGTTGATGGCGTTCGGTTAAACATACAGAGTTTTCAATGTAGAACTATGTCATCTGTAGACTGAACGGCGTTCGGTTAAACATACAGAGTTTTCAATGTAGAACTATGTTATCTATAGATTTAACGGCGTTCGGTTAAACATACAGAGTTTTCAATGTAGAACTATGTCATCTGTAGACTGAACGGCGTTCGGTTAAACATACAGAGTTTTCAATGTAGAACTATGTTATCTATAGATTTAACGTCGTTAGGTTAAACATACAGAGTTTTCAATGTAGAACTATATTGTCTGTGGAGTTGATGGCGTTCGGTTAAACATACAGAGTTTTCAATGTAGAACTATGTCATCTGTAGTCTGAACGGCGTTCGGTTAAACATACGGGGTTTTCAATGTAGAACTGTGTCATCTGTTGATTTGATCTGCCGGGGATTGTTTGAAGAAAAAATACTTTATTCCAGATAACTTTGGAATAAAATGATTAAGCCATGCGTTTAATAACAGTAAGTTGTGGGTCCAGACAAACCTGTTTGTCGCCTCCATCAGATACACATGATTAATAGCCTTAAGCATCACCAGAACCATAAAAAATATTACATTGTCGGTTCCTTCGCGCCGTCATATCTACAGGTAATATAGTACTTCTTACTGACTTAGAACTAGCACCAGCCAGGGCTCCACAGACCGCCATAGAACAGAGGATTCGCTTTGTACGTCGACGGAGGGTTAAAAGCTGGGCGCAAAGACTTCTTGTAGGTGTCCAGCGTCGTTTTGAGTTGAGACACGATATCCGGGTACTTCTCGGCCAGGTCAAAGTGCTCAGTTGGATCAGCTGAAACAAAACACATAGTTACTTTCTCTGATGAGAAGGTGTGACTTGCTATGTCTAGTTGGGGCAGGGGAGTCGTCAACTTGCTGTGCAGGGTTGTGCCCCTTAGGCGTGCCAGAAACCAATGATTGTGGATTCGAATCCAGGTTCGCCCTGTTTATGTCTCAGAACTATACTCGTGCTCGTTTGTTTTACCTAAACGTCTTACACCTGCATCATTTCGGGGTTTCCTCTGACATTAGGCTGACACGCCGTCATATACCTGAAACACTGCGTGCCTTAAGTGGCGTTAAACCCAACTTACTCAATCATCGTCAGTTAATCACCGTCAGTATCATCAGATCTATCATAGGCTGGTCAGAGAAGTAACACTCCGTCAAACTAGTCAAAACATCAATAGCTTTAGCTACGATGAACGACGTCTATGTAAGAATTTACACACAATAGGCTCAGCATCAGAGTTGGACCAGGCGTGGATCCAAGGCGGACAAGGTCTTTAGTACACACCACTTGTCGCACGAGCCATCAAATGGGGATTGAGTGGTAACAATGTGCAACAATTAGGCCGGCTATCGCAGCTCATGCTATCAACCTCTTGTTTGACATGCCCAGACGACCCGTGAAGATCCGGGTAGAATAGGTCTTCAGCAACCCATGCTTGGAGTAAAAGGCGACTATGCTTGTCGTAAGAGGCGACTAAAGGGATCGGGTGGTCATGCTCGCTGTCTTGGTTGATGTCATTCTATCCCAAATGCGTTGATCGATTATCATGATGTCAATCACTGGATTGTCTGGTCCAGGGCCCACTTGCACAAAAAGATCTTAGCGCGAAAACTATCGTAAGCCTATTTGAAAGTAAAGGAGTTACGATCATCTTAGGGCTAAGATTGCTTTGTGCAAGTCGGCCCAGACTTGATTATTAACAGACCGCCGTCATATAGCTGGAATATTGTTGAGTGCGGCGTTAAACAACAAACAACAAACTTTCCCAGACACAGTAATTTACAGACAGCCGTAGTGCAGCTGAATTATTTCTGACTGGCAAATGTCAATAGTACCCCATTCAAGAAATCACTGAGGTGAACCTACCCGGTGTAACCAATCCAAGTGCTACTCTTGGCTATTGATTCCACCCGATCCATATTTATCAATCTTACGCAAATCCGTATTAAAATGATCAATGGGTGAATTGTCATGGATGTCTATACCAAGTAATGAGAGATATTCCAGGGAAGAGGGCAGTATTTGGGTTCCCTGCAGTGATTTCTTGACGTGACTACTCACCCGATATGTTAAACAGCCGGTACTCCGTACTCCCTACAGCGTTAAAGTGTTTTTTTAAAAGCCTGTACAAATAGGTGTCGCTCGAGGTATCTGTCATGTCGAGAAGTTCCGGGGGGAAGTCGGCCTCCTCCTTTGTCACCCTGGGCAATGGGTACCACCCATTGAACATACCTGGGGAGCCCTCTATCAGTTTCATGTCACCAACCCTTGGCGAAAACATAAATAGAAATATGGTAAAAAAAAGCCTTGGATAATGAAACAAACAGACGTCATGTGGCGCCCCTCACCGAGCCATTTGTTACACACTTTGTTATTGCAGGGATTTTCACTCAGTTACTCAACTTAAAATATAATGGACGTTTTGAAAAAGGTTCATACCTAATTGCACCATTCTCAGAAACTTCATCTATGTTGTAGATGAATTCAGTCCTTTGAGTTGTCTTCCCTTCACTCAAGGTCACCCATTGATCGACACCGTCTATGGTCGAATCTTTTATTGCGTAACAGAAACCAAAGGTCAGTACAACAGGTCTTTGTGCAGCTTTATAACTTTTAGGTCTACTATTCACACTATTCAGCAACATTCACAACATAGTATACATAAGACAGCAACATTCCCCAGCTCTATAGCAACTGGGTCTACAGTGTACACCTACTTCAGCAGGAACATTCTACAGCTTTATAAGTATTGGGTCTACAGTATACATAATTCAGCAGCAACATAACACAGCTCTATAACTACTGGGTCTACAGTATACACAATTCAGCAGCAACATTACACAGCTCTATTACTACTGGGTCTACAGTATACACAATACACCCCTTGTATTACACTGTCGCCCATGTAACTGTTGCTGCCCCAGTCTGTACCTACCTGCTTGTCCAACTGCCATAACTGTCCACCCCTTGTATTACACTGTCGCCCATGTAACTGTTGCTGCCCCAGTCTGTACCTACCTGCTTGTCCACCTGCCATAGCTGTCCACCCCTTGTATTACACTGTCGCCCATGTAACTGTTGCTGCCCCAGTCTGTACCTACCTGCTTGTCCACCTGCCATAACTGTCCACCCCTTGTATCACACTGTCGCCCATGTAACTGTTGCTGCCCCAGTCTCTACCTACCTGCTTGTCCACCTGCCATAGCTGTCCACCCCTTGTATCACACTGTCGCCCATGTAACTGTTGCTGCCACAGCCTGTACCTACCTGCTTGTCCACCTGCCATAGCTGTCCACCCCTTGTATCACACTGTCGCCCATGTAACTGTTGCTGCCCCAGTCTGTACCTACCTGCTTGTCCACCTGCCATAGCTGTCCACCCCTTGTATTACACTGTCGCCCATGTAACTGTTGCTGCCACAGCCTGTACCTACCTGCTTGTCCACCTGCCATAGCTGTCCACCCCTTGTATTACACTGTCGCCCATGTAACTGTTGCTGGCCCTGCCTCGACCTACCTGCTTGCCCACCTGCCATAGCTACCCACCCCTTGTATCACACTGTCGCCCATGTAACTGTTGCTGGCCCTGCCTCGACCTACCTGCTTGCCCACCTGCCAACCGCACAAAAGTAGGGAACCAATCTGAAGCGTGTATCATCCTGAAAGATAAAGAAACAACCTAGGTACAGAAGCTCTCCTTGCTTTATATAGTTATGATGTCCCAATCTGGGCGCAGCACCCACCATGCAGTAGCATACCTGTGCAGAAGCTCAACGTGCCTACTTGGGGACCGACCATTTGATTTTCTGGGGGATGGCCTGGGATTTTATCGAAAAAAAAATTATGCTTCAGGCTGTTGAAATTGCTATAGTTACATTGTTGAAGGTGTTCTGCTTAAGGTGAATAGTTTTAAAGAAATTGTTTGAAGCAGTAGCGGAAAATATATCTAATCTCGACACAAAATGCCACTGCCTCCCCCAAGAACTAGGAATATCCAATGGTCGGTCCCTTAGAGCTGTTCTCTGACCTTTTCCCGTTCCCCGCGATTGTCGTAATAGCCGAGGACTGAGTTGTCACAGTAAGTGACTTGCTAGTCGCGTATCATCTTGCCCCGACGGCGTGCATCTATACTCATGCTTGCAATCACGAGTTTGCTTGGTCTGGCCTTGATTAAAGATAGGCCGTCGTGATAGAGCTAAAATATTGCTGAAAGTGGCGTTAAGCAACTTACACTCACTCAATGTTCTCTGACTTAAGAAAATGTGTACATGTCATAAATATCAAGACATGAAGACACACATGTAAACTAGATACTATATACGTCTGGATGACGCCTTCAGCTAAAAAGGGGCGGTGGGGTAGCCAAGTAGCTAAAGCGTTCGTTCGTCAAGCCGAAGACCCGAGTTTGATTCCCCACATGGGTACAATGTGTGAAGCCCATGTCATGTGTCCCCCGCCGTGATATTGCTGGAATATTGCTGAAAGCGGCTTACAGTCATACTTACTCATTTTCTTCAGCTCAAAGTTTTATTATTAGTTTTATCCAAAAACAACTTCATCGAACTCATCGCAACCTAACACGACCATCTCCAGTCCAAACACCTGTGGTATCGATGTGTGTATGAGCTTAGTATATGCATCAAACACAGGAACAATACGTCAAAATCATATTGCTATAACAGCATAACATACCATTAATTCATGTTCCAATAATTCCAGAATTGCTGTTTTCAGGAAACTTATACACCAATAGACAAACAGCTAATTTCCACTTACTCAGTATTCTCATATCCTGACTTCTGGAGCAATGTCTTGCTGTAGACGAATGCTGCTCCTTTGGTACCCCCTTCCCACAGCGTTGACTTCGCCCCCCTCAGGGGTAGGTTGTTGGCAGCAGCAAAAGTAGGTCCCCCATTCTATAAAACATGGCTTCAGTGATTACAAACGTTTACACAAATAACATAAAATGTCGGTAGGAAAGTCATTTTAAGAGTTATGTGAATAACTACGAGTCGTCAGCGTGACGCGCAAGCGCTTTAACCACAAGGCTACCCCTTCAATATGAAGACATTACGTCTGCTGTGAAGACCAGAAGGAGATTGTCCATCAGCCCATTCTCCTCCAGTGCCTGTGTGATGTTCCCAACAGCCTCGTCCATGGCAGACACCATTCCTGCAAACATTGTAACTGTTTATTTGTGAGTCCTCCTGCCCGCAGTACAGCCTGCGAAGATAGCCAACTGTTTGATAATACCAACAGCAGTTATTGCCATTCAGCGCAATTATAAAATATCCGTTAGGTTCAATGTTAAGTGTGAGGAATTATCTTCCACTGCGTTCGTGTTTCATTTAAACCTGGACACACGATACAAATTTAACCTTGCTACATGTTCACGGCCTGTCACAAGACTTGCAAAACAAATATGACGTCGACATGTTAACCGATTTGGAGCCGGTTAACTCTGTGTCCTGTGGTTGTATGGACAAGACATCGAACTCTTTATTTCACGTGTTTGTGACATTATTAAAGTGTATAGATATTTCAGTTCATTTTACTATCCGTGGTGTACAGAAGGCGCGTGACGGTCAATGTACATCAGCGGGACAAGGTACTCACGCATAAACAGGCGAGGTGAGTATTGAGTGCGACAGTACCTAAACATTATCGTGCTAGGATATATAAGCTCCATAATGTACGATAAGGACTTCTATCTGACGTATGGGGCACGGGTGTCCCAGGAAGACGCAGCCATTCGCCGTGAAGAGAAGCGTCCCTGGTCCCGTGATCCGCCCAGATTATGTTTCCAGGTTTGTCAGCACCATACCCGTGCTCGTCGATTTGACTACAGCGGTAAACGACCTGAAAGTGGCTACCTTCGTGTCTACAGTTCTAAGCTTGTTTCCCAGGTGCACGGGTGGCCCAGCCTAAAGCGCCGCAATTTCACTTTGCACGTCAGCTTTGGGCACGTCGGAAACCTATGACCTGGGGTTCGAATCCCGGTTTGACCCGATTATGTTTAAAAGTTTTTATTTTGGCGGTGCAGATGAAATGTGTGCGTTTGGTTAATATGTTGAAATTCAAGCTCGACCCCATTTTCTCACCGCAGTATTTGCGCCTCTGAGTGTCCTCTATATTCGGATACATGTTTTCATAGCGCTTGGGGACCTGCAACACAGAACAGATATCCACCATGATCTTTCTCGTTAACAGCATCGTTATGCGGGAGCGCGGCTCACATTACAGCAATGTTCAGCTGGGGACACCAAGACTGGAGTTCCATGCACTGTACAAAGTGGAATCTACTACACCACCACCTTGGTATGATGAGAGGTCGCTCAATTACATCTCCGTGAATAGTTGGGGAATCTGGTAACATTAGATCTATCGCTTAGATCCCCGACGACAACAAACAACTGTCGGATACTGACCTACCTGTATGGGGTGTGTAGTGACTGTGAGATATTACACTGACCTACCTGTATTGGGGTGTGTACTGACTGTCAGATATTACACTGACCTACCTGTATGGGGGTGGGGTGTGTACTGACTGTCAGATATTGCACTGACCTACCTGTATGGGGGTGGGGTGTGTACTGACTGTCAGATATTGCACTGACCTACCTGTAGGGGGTGGGTACTGACTGTCAGATATTACACTGACCTACCTGTATGGGGTGTGTACTGACTGTCAGATATTACACTGACCTACCTGTATCGGGGTGTGTACTGACTGTCATATATTACACCGTATACCTGTATGGGGGTGTGTACTGACTGTCAGATATTACACTGACCTACCTCTATGGGGGTGTGTACTGACTGTCAGATAATGCACTGACCTACCTGTATGGGGTGTGTACTGACTGTCAGATATTACACTGATCTACCTGTATCGGGGTGGGGTGTGTACTGACTGTCATATATGACACTGTATACCTGTATGGGGGTGTGTACTGACTGTCAGATATTGCACTGTATACCTGTATGGGGGTGTGTACTGACTGTCAGATTTTGCACTGACCTACCTGTATGGGGGTGGGGTGTGTACTGACTGTCATATATTACACTGTATACCTGTATGGGGGTATGTACTGACTGTCAGATATTACACTGATCTACCTGTATCGGGGTGTGTAATGACTGTCAGATATTACACTGACCTACCTGTATGGGGGTGGGGTGTGTACTGACTGTCAGATATTGCACTGCCCTACCTGTAGGGGGTGTGTACTGCCTGTCAGATATTACACTGACCTACCTGTATTGGGGTGTGTACTGACTGTCAGATATTACACTGACCTACCTGTATGGGGGTGGGGTGTGCACTGACTGTCAGATATTGCACTGACCTACCTGTATGGGGGTGGGGTGTGTACTGACTGTCAGATATTGCACTGACCTACCTGTAGGGGGTGGGTACTGACTGTCAGATATTACACTGACCTACCTGTATGGGGTGTGTACTGACTGTCAGATATTACACTGACCTACCTGTATCGGGGTGTGTACTGACTGTCATATATTACACTGTATACCTGTATGGGGGTGTGTACTGACTGTCAGATATTACACTGACCTACCTGTATGGGGGTGTGTACTGACTGTCAGATATTGCACTGTATACCTGTATGGGGTATGTAATGACTGTCAGATATTGCACTGTATACCTGTATGGGGTGTGTACTGACTGTCAGATATTGCACTGTATACCTGTATAGGGGTGTGTACTGACTGTCAGATATTACACCGACCTACCTGTATGGGGGTGGGGTGTGTACTGACTGTCAGATATTACACTGACCTACCTGTATGGGATGTGTACTGACTGTCAGATATTACACTGACCTCCCTGTATGGGGGTGTGTACTGACTGTCAGCTATTACACTGTATACCTGTATGGGGTATGTAATGACTGTCAGATATTACACTGTCCTACCTGTATGGGGTGTGTACTGACTGTCTGCTATTACACTGACCTACCTGTATAGGGGTATGTAATGACTGTCAGATATTACACTGATCTACCTGTAGGGGTATGTAATGACTGTCAGATATTACTATGACCTACCTGTATGGGGTGTGTACTGACTGTCAGATATTACACTGACCTACATATATAGGGGTATGTACTGACTGTCAGATATTACACTGACCTACCTGTATGGGGGTGGGGTGTGTACTGACTGCCACATATTGCACTGACCTACCTGTATGGGGTGTGTACTGAATGTCATATATTACACTGTATACCTGTATGGGGTGTGTACTGACTGTCAGATATTACACTGACCTACCTGTATGGGGGTGTTAACTGACTGTCATATATTACACTGTATACCTGTATGGGGTGTGTACTGACTGTCAGATAATACACTGACCTACCTGTATGGGGGTGTTAACTGACTGTCACATATTGCACTGACCTACCTGTATGGGGACGTGTACTGACTGTCAGATATTACACTGACCTACCTGTATGGGGGTGTGTACTGACCGTCAGATATTACACTGACCTACCTGTATGGGGTTGTGTATTGTCAGATATTACACTGACCTACCTGTATGGGGGTGTGTACTGACTGTCAGATATTACACTGACCTACCTGTATGGGGTTGTGCACTGACTGGAAAGGGAGGTAGAGGAAGAGAGGTTTAGACTGATCATGTGACTTGATGATGTCCACAGCTCTTCTTGCGTACACCGTCTGAAAGAAGACACGACTACATCCGGGAATTACGCTCGATTCATTTATGCCATGAGTAAACATGCTACAAGCTTACAAGCACACACCAATTCTTCATGCTGGCAACATGTCCATCTGATACGCAGACATCAAGGGGGAGCCACAGACTGCAGGTTAACACTTAACAAACGGATCATATCGTCCGAAACACGTTAGACTCACTTCAAATCGAATTCGTGAGTAAAATGCGTGTTCAACATTGCGTCTATTTCTGCAACGTATTCAGCAAATTTGAGAGACCCCGTTTATGAGACCGTCCATTCGGAAATTCATAAAATTGTTTGAAGTAGTCTGAAGGTTCACCGAGAGGCTTGTCCCGGAATGACACGAACTGGTCACGAATGCTTCTGACTTTAGTGATTGTGTTTTTACACATTATATATCACAAGTTTTAAAGGGTTAGTCATAATTCAGAAACAGTTCAAGATGAAACATCAATTATGTTTGTAAGAAAACATCGTATACAACTTCAGAAACACTGCACATGAAATTTCCAATATTGAATTTCAGATGTAAACCAATTATGAAGGAACACATTGGCAAACATTAGGTGTGCACAGATTCCGAATAGTGTTTCTGAATATGTGGAACAATCGTGTATCGGGTTAGAGGTAGGGTGCACGACCAGAGCTGTACAGTACAGCGGGGCCTCGAGTGGTAGCACTGTTGTATTGATATCTTACTGCTGAATACTCCTCGGTGTATTTGGGCTGTTTGTCATCCCGGAAGTCCACCCCGTCCGCCAAAAGTCCACCTGTAAATAATGAATGGGTCAAGGTCATTTGGTCAACTATCAATTCATTAGTCTGAGAATAAGTTGAGACGTGCCTCAGACATGTTGTTTGTTTATTAAAATATGTACTTTTTATTAAATATAAGATATTCCCACACGACTGCTCGAACAAATTTTAAATATTAAACAACATAACGTTTGTATCATGTAATCTTGGTACATAAAGTTGTGAATCGTAAATAATTTTGAAATAAAACCAAGACAAGGTTTTGTTTGGCTGTAACTTTACTTCCTATGATCTCCTTCATGTGTTCCTCAGTGTCAAGTTACAATGTCGACGTGAAACCTGTATGGATAAACGTGTCATGTCTTCATGTTCCTCCAACTACTAATGCCTATCACAGACTTGATCACCTTGTACACAAAGTGCAGTGTACTGGACTGTTTTCTGAAACACCACTATGCTATGTCACCACTGTGCTATGTCACCACTGTGCTATGTCACCACTGTGCTATGTCACCACTGTGCTATGTCACCACTATGCTATGTCACAACTATGCTGTATCATCACTATGCTATATCACCACTATGCTTTGTCACCACTATGCTATGTTACCACTATGCTATGTCACCACTATGCTATGTCATCACTATGCTATGTCACCACTATGCTATATCACCACTATGCTTTGTCACTACTATGCTAAGTCATCACTATGCTATGTCACTACTATGCTATGTCATCACTATGCTATGTCACAACTATAATAGGTCATCACTATGCTATGTCACCAGTATGCTATGTCACCACTATACTATGTCACCACTATGCTATGTCACCACTATGCTATGTCACAACTATGCTGTGTCATCACTATGCTATGTCACCACTATGCTATGTCACCACTATGCTATGTCACCACTATGCTATATCATCACTATGCTATGTCACCACTATCCTATGTCATCACTATGCTATGTCACCACTATGCTATGTCACAACTATGTTATGTCATCACTATGCTATGTCACCACTATGCTATGTCATCACTATGCTATGTCACCACTATGCTATGTCACCGCTATGCTATGTCACCACTATGCTTTGTCACCACTATGCTATGTCACCACTATGCTCTGGCATCACTGTGCTATGTCATCACTATGCTATGTCACCACTATGCTATGTCATCACTATGCTATGTCACCAATATGCTATGTCACCACTATGCTATGTCACCACTATGCTTTGACACCACTATGCTATGTCACCACTATGCTATGTCACCACTGTGCTATGTCACCACTATGCTATGTCACCACTATGCTATGTCATCACTATGCTATGTCACCAATATGCTATGTCACCACTATGCTATGTCACCACTATGCTTTGACACCACTATGCTATGTCACCACTATGCTATGTCACCACTGTGCTATGTCACCACTATGCTATGTCACCACTATGCTATGTCATCACTATGCTATGTCACCACTATGCTATGTCACCACTATGCTATATCACCACTATGCTTTGTCACCACTATGCTATGTCATCACTATGCTATGTCATCACTATGCTATGACACCACTATGCTATGTCACCACTGTGCTATGTCACCACTATGCTATGTCACCACTATGCTATGTCATCACTATGCTATGTCACCACTATGCTATGTCACCACTATGCTATATCACCACTATGCTTTGTCACCACTATGCTATGTCATCACTATGCTATGTCATCACTATGCTATGACACCACTATGCTATGTCACCACTTTGCTATGTCAACACTATGCTATGGCACCACTATGCTATGTCACCACTATGCTTTGTCACCACTATGCTATGTCATCACTATGCTATGTCATCACTATGCTATGACACCACTATGCTATGTCACCACTTTGCTATGTCAACACTATGCTATGGCACCACTATGCTATGTCATCACTATGCTATGACACCACTATGCTATGTCACCACTTTGCTATGTCAACACTATGCTATGGCACCACTATGCTATGTCATCACTATGCTATGTCACCACTATGCCATGTCACCACTATGCTATGTCATCACTTTTCTATGTCACCACAATGCTATGTCACCAATATGCTATGTCATCACTATGCTATATCGCCACTATGCTATGTCACCACTATGCTATATCATCACTATGCTATGTCACCACTATTCCATGTCACCACTATGCCATGTCACCACTATGCTATGTCATCACTTTGCTATGTCATCACTATGCTATGTCACCACTATGCTATGTCACCGCTATGCTATGTCACCACTATGCTTTGTCACCACTATGCTATGTCACCACTGTGCTATTGCACCACTGTGCTATGTCATCACTATGCTATGTCACCACTATGCTATGTCATCACTATGCTATGTCACCACTATGCTATGTCACCACTGTGCTATGTCACCACTATGCTTTGTCACCACTATGCTATGTCACCACTATGCTATGGCACCACTGTGCTATGTCACCACTATGCTATGGCACCACTATGCTATGTCACTACTATGCTATGTCACCACTATGCTATGTCACCACTATGCTATATCACCACTATGCTATGTCACAACTATGTTATGTCATCACTATGCTATGTCACCACTATGCTATGTCATCACTATGCTATGTCACCACTGTGCTATGTCACCGCTATGCTATGTCACCACTATGCTTTGTCACCAATATGCTATGTCACCACTGTGCTATGTCACCACTATGCTATGTCATCACTATGCTATGTCACCACTATGCTATGTCACCACTGTGCTATGTCACCACTATGCTTTGTCACCACTATGCTATGTCATCACTATGCTATGTCACCACTATGCTATGTCACCACTATGCTATGTCACCACTATGCTTTGTCACCACTATGCTATGTCATCACTATGCTATGTCATCACTATGCTATGACACCACTATGCTATGTCACCACTTTGCTATGTCAACACTATGCTATGGCACCACTATGCTATGTCATCACTATGCTATGTCACCACTATGCTATGTCATCACTATGCTATGTCATCACTATGCTATGACACCACTATGCTATGTCACCACTTTGCTATGTCAACACTATGCGATGGTACCACTATGCTATGTCATCACTTTGCTATGTCACCACTATGCTATATCATCACTATGCTATGTCACCACTATTCCATGTCACCACAATGCCATGTCACCACTATGCTATGTCATCACTATGCTATGTCACCACTATGCTATATCATCACTATGCTATGTCACCACTATTCCATGTCACCACTATGCCATGTCACCACTATGCTATGTCATCACTTTTCTATGTCACCACAATGCTATGTCACCACTATGCTATGTCATCACTATGCTATATCGCCACTATGCTATGTCACCACTATGCTATATCATCACTATGCTATGTCACCACTATTCCATGTCACCACTATGCCATGTCAACACTATGCTATGTCATCACTTTGCTATGTCATCACTATGCTATGTCACCACTATGCTATGTCACCGCTATGCTATGTCACCACTATGCTTTGTCACCACTATGCTATGTCACCACTGTGCTATTGCACCACTGTGCTATGTCATCACTATGCTATGTCACCACTATGCTATGTCATCACTATGCTATGTCACCACTATGCTATGGCACCACTGTGCTATGTCACCACTATGCTATGTCACCACTATGCTATGTCACCACTATGCTATGTCACCACTATGCTATGTCACCACTATGCTATATCACCACTATGCTATGTCATCACTATGGTATGTCACCACTATGCTATGACACCACTATGCTATGTCACCACTATGCTATATTATCACTATGCTATATAACCACTATGCTATGTCACCACTATGCTATGTCATCACTATGGTATGTCACCCCTATGCTATGTCACCACTATGCTTTTTCATCACTATGCTATGTCATCACTGTGCTATGTCACCACTATGCTATGTCACCACTATGCTATGTCACCACTGTGCTATGTCACCACTATGCTATGTCACCACTGTGCTATGTTACCACTGTGCTATGTCACCACTATGCTATGTCACCACTGTGCTATGTCACCACTGTGCTATGTCACCACTATGCTATGTCACCACTATGCTATGTCATCACTATGCTATGTCTTCACTATGCTATGTCACCACTATGCTATGTCACCAATTTGCTATGTCACCACTATGCTATATCACCATTGTGCTATGTCATCACTTTGCTATGTCACCACTATGCAATGTCACCACTATGCTATCTCACCACTATGCTTTGTCATCACTATGCTACGTCATCACTATGCTATGTCATCACTATGCTATGTCATCACTATGCTATGTCACCACTATGCTATGTCACCACTATGCTATGTCACCACTATGCTATATCATCACTATGCTATGTCATCACTATGCTATGTCATCACTGTGATATGTCACCACTATGCTATGTCATCACTATGCTATGTCACCACTATGCTATGTCACCACTATGCTATGTCACCACTATGCTATCTCACCACTATGCTTTGTCATCACTATGCTACGTCATCACTATGCTATGTCATCACTATGCTATGTCATCACTATGCTATGTCACCACTATGCTATGTCACCACTATGCTATGTCACCACTATGCTATATCATCACTATGCTATGTCATCACTATGCTATGTCATCACTGTGATATGTCACCACTATGCTATGTCATCACTATGCTATGTCACCACTATGCTATGTCACCACTATGCTATGTCATCACTATGCTATGTCACCGCTATGCTATGTCATCACTATGCTCTGTCACAACTATGCTATGTCATCACTATGCTATGTCACCACTATGCTATGTCACCACTATGCTATGTCACCACTATGCTATGGCACCACTGTGCTATGTCACCACTATGCTATGTCACCACTATGCTATGTCACTACTATGCTATGTCACCACTATGCTATGTCACCACTATGCTATATCACCACTATGCTATGTCACAACTATGTTATGTCATCACTATGCTATGTCACCACTATGCTATGTCATCACTATGCTATGTCACCACTGTGCTATGTCACCGCTATGCTATGTCACCACTATGCTTTGTCACCAATATGCTATGTCACCACTGTGCTATGTCACCACTATGCTATGTCATCACTATGCTATGTCACCACTATGCTATGTCACCACTGTGCTATGTCACCACTATGCTTTGTCACCACTATGCTATGTCATCACTATGCTATGTCACCACTATGCTATGTCACCACTATGCTATGTCACCACTATGCTTTGTCACCACTATGCTATGTCATCACTATGCTATGTCATCACTATGCTATGACACCACTATGCTATGTCACCACTTTGCTATGTCAACACTATGCTATGGCACCACTATGCTATGTCATCACTATGCTATGTCACCACTATGCTATGTCATCACTATGCTATGTCATCACTATGCTATGACACCACTATGCTATGTCACCACTTTGCTATGTCAACACTATGCTATGGTACCACTATGCTATGTCATCACTTTGCTATGTCACCACTATGCTATATCATCACTATGCTATGTCACCACTATTCCATGTCACCACAATGCCATGTCACCACTATGCTATGTCATCACTATGCTATGTCACCACTATGCTATATCATCACTATGCTATGTCACCACTATTCCATGTCACCACTATGCCATGTCACCACTATGCTATGTCATCACTTTTCTATGTCACCACAATGCTATGTCACCACTATGCTATGTCATCACTATGCTATATCGCCACTATGCTATGTCACCACTATGCTATATCATCACTATGCTATGTCACCACTATTCCATGTCACCACTATGCCATGTCAACACTATGCTATGTCATCACTTTGCTATGTCATCACTATGCTATGTCACCACTATGCTATGTCACCGCTATGCTATGTCACCACTATGCTTTGTCACCACTATGCTATGTCACCACTGTGCTTTGTCACCACTATGCTATGTCATCACTATGCTATGTCATCACTATGCTATGGCACCACTGTGCTATGTCACCACTATGCTATGTCACCACTATGCTATGTCACCACTATGCTATGTCACCACTATGCTATGTCACCACTATGCTATATCACCACTATGCTATGTCATCACTATGGTATGTCACCACTATGCTATGACACCACTATGCTATGTCACCACTATGCTATATTATCACTATGCTATATAACCACTATGCTATGTCACCACTATGCTATGTCATCACTATGGTATGTCACCCCTATGCTATGTCACCACTATGCTTTTTCATCACTATGCTATGTCATCACTGTGCTATGTCACCACTATGCTATGTCACCACTATGCTATGTCACCACTGTGCTATGTCACCACTATGCTATGTCACCACTGTGCTATGTTACCACTGTGCTATGTCACCACTATGCTATGTCACCACTGTGCTATGTCACCACTGTGCTATGTCACCACTATGCTATGTCACCACTATGCTATGTCATCACTATGCTATGTCTTCACTATGCTATGTCACCACTATGCTATGTCACCAATTTGCTATGTCACCACTATGCTATATCACCATTGTGCTATGTCATCACTTTGCTATGTCACCACTATGCAATGTCACCACTATGCTATCTCACCACTATGCTTTGTCATCACTATGCTACGTCATCACTATGCTATGTCATCACTATGCTATGTCATCACTATGCTATGTCACCACTATGCTATGTCACCACTATGCTATGTCACCACTATGCTATATCATCACTATGCTATGTCATCACTATGCTATGTCATCACTGTGATATGTCACCACTATGCTATGTCATCACTATGCTATGTCACCACTATGCTATGTCACCACTATGCTATGTCATCACTATGCTATGTCACCGCTATGCTATGTCATCACTATGCTCTGTCACAACTATGCTATGTCATCACTATGCTATGTCACCACTATGCTATGTCACCACTATGCTATGTCATCGCTATGCTATGTCACCACTATGCTATGTCACCGCTATGCTATGTCACAACTATGCTGTGTCATCCCTATGCTATGTCACCACAATGCTTTGTCACCACTATGCTATGTCACCACTATGCTATGTCACCACTATGCTCTGTCACCGCGATGTCACGAAATGCAGCAAACATTGTGTCAATCACTCATTCGTCCACTTGGGGGAGAGAAACAGATGTTTAAACTTTTAATTCTTCGCAGTCTTTTCACCTCGAATTTTTTTTGTGTAGTAGTCTTCAGCACCGTTGTAGTAGCCCAGGAAGCTGTCGAAGCCGCGGAAGGTGGGGGTGTAGTTCCAGTTACAAAACCCCAGGTGCCATCTGTATCGTTATGAAACAAAACATGAATTGGTTAAACGTTAAACGTGGTTAGAAAAGCATTTCTTTCTATGGGTTGAATTTGTTAGGAGAGTCCAAAATCCTCAATTTGACAAAACCCTTTCCACATTTATAAGAAATACCTGCCAAACGCAGAGCCTTTCTTTCTCTACGATTCCGACTATATCATGAACATGTGTTTATGAATCACTATCAAATAGTGATGAAACCAGGTGTTCGCCAAAATGTGAGCGTATCCTGCCCCGCCGTCCACACCCATCACAAACACGCGAAAAGGCAAGTCAATTCGAACAAATACACTACACATAAATCCCATGGCGTCCTCGTTCAAATGAAGTCAAATGTAACAAAACAAACCACCTTTAACATACATGGCAAATGAAAAAAAAAAAAAATAATAATAATAAATGAAATATATTTACTATAGCTCTTACTCTGATTTATATTCATGGTGATACCGTAGATTTTGGAAAAGTTCACGAAAATATTTATTAAGAAAGTTCACAGAGGAATTTTCAGAACCAACCTAGCCCATGATGAACAAAGATGTAAACCAAACAATCAATGATTGGCAGGTGCTGGTGCGCCATAAGGGACAGCAACCACCCGTGCCCCGAGCGAAACAACTAACTGTCTAATGCACATACTTCCCTATCATGTGTGTGCTGTAGCCCTGATCCTTGAGCTTCTGGGGGAGCGTGGTGAAGTTAGCGGGCAGGTAGGCGGGGGACTCAGGCTGGATTACCATGTGCTGCAACAAGATTTTCACTCATTCCGTGAATAACTATCTCTTCAGCATGATCAGTTTTTCTACCACAGCTGTCCGCATTGAGGAGAGCCTGGTCACACACTGCAACAACGAATGCAGTTCCACTGTATGTGGACAAGGACTGTTCAACTACAATGAGGATTAACTTAAATTGTCGGTATCGCAGATTTCATACCTCTTTCTTTCACCTGTAACCATAAACATTCTTTCTGACAAATCCACCCCTGCGTTGCCGTGCGATTCGTTTTAACAGATGTGTATAAATGAGTCAAAAATGTTTGGAACTATTCCAGCAGTAGTAGATGGGTGGCTGTAAGTGTTGTGCATGTGTCGGACCTGGTGTCTGGTGTCTGGTGTCTGGTGTCTGGTGTCTGGTGTCTGGTGTTCTAGATGGGTGGCTGTAAGTGTTAGTTATGTGACGGACCTGGTGTCTGGTGTTCTAGATGGGTGGCTGTAAGTGTTAGTTATGTGTCGGACCTGGTGTCTGGTGTCTGGTGTTCTAGATGGGTGGCTGTAAGTGTTGTGCATGTGTCGCACCTGGTGTCTGGTGTCTGGTGTTCTAGATGGGTGGCTGTAAGTGTTGTGCATGTGTCGCACCTGGTGTCTGGTGTCTGGTGTTCTAGATGGGTGGCTGTAAGTGTTGTGCATGTGTCGCACCTGGTGTCTGGTGTCTGGTGTTCTAGATGGGTGGCTGTAAGTGTTGTGCATGTGTCGCACCTGGTGTCTGGTGTCTGGTGTTCTAGATGGGTGGCTGTAAGTGTTGTGCATGTGTCGCACCTGGTGTCTGGTGTCTGGTGTTCTAGATGGGTGGCTGTAAGTGTTGTGCATGTGTCGGACCTGGTGTCTGGTGTCTGGTGTCTGGTGTTCTAGATGGGTGGCTGTAAGTGTTAGTTATGTGACGGACCTGGTGTCTGGTGTTCTAGATGGGTGGCTGTAAGTGTTAGTTATGTGTCGGACCTGGTGTCTGGTGTCTGGTGTTCTAGATGGGTGGCTGTAAGTGTTGTGCATGTGTCGCACCTGGTGTCTGGTGTCTGGTGTTCTAGATGGGTGGCTGTAAGTGTTGTGCATGTGTCGCACCTGGTGTCTGGTGTCTGGTGTTCTAGATGGGTGGCTGTAAGTGTTGTGCATGTGTCGCACCTGGTGTCTGGTGTCTGGTGTTCTAGATGGGTGGCTGTAAGTGTTAGTTATGTGTCGGACCTGGTGTCTGGTGTCTGGTGTTCTAGATGGGTGGCTGTAAGTGTTAGTTATGTGTCGGACCTGGTGGCTGGTGTCTGGTGTTCTAGATGGGTGGTTGTAAGTGTTAGTTATGTGTCGGACCTGGTGGCTGGTGTCTGGTGTTCTAGATGGGTGGCTGTAAGTGTTAGTTATGTGTCGGACCTGGTGTCTGGTGTCTGGTGTTCTAGATGGGTGGTTGTAAGTGTTAGTTATGTGTCGGACCTGGTGGCTGGTGTCTGGTGTTCTAGATGGGTGGCTGTAAGTGTTAGTTATGTGTCGGACCTGGTGTCTGGTGTCTGGTGTTCTAGATGGGTGGTTGTAAGTGTTAGTTATGTGTCGGACCTGGTGGCTGGTGTCTGGTGTTCTAGATGGGTGGCTGTAAGTGTTAGTTATGTGTCGGACCTGGTGGCTGGTGTCTGGTGTTCTAGATGGGTGGCTGTAAGTGTTAGTTATGTGTCGGACCTGGTGTCTGGTGTCTGGTGTTCTAGATGGGTGGTTGTAAGTGTTAGTTATGTGTCGGACCTGGTGGCTGGTGTCTGGTGTTCTAGATGGGTGGCTGTAAGTGTTAGTTATGTGTCGGACCTGGTGGCTGGTGTCTGGTGTTCTAGATGGGTGGCTGTAAGTGTTAGTTATGTGTCGGACCTGGTGTCTGGTGTTCTAGATGGGTGGCTGTAAGTGTTAGTTATGTGTCGGACCTGGTGTCTGGTGTTCTAGATGGGTGGCTGTAAGTGTTAGTTATGTGTCGCACCTGGTGTGTGGTGGCTGGGGTTCTAGATGGGTGGCTGTAAGTGTTAGTTATGTGTCGGACCTGGTGTCTGGGGTTCTAGATGGGTGGCTGTAAGTGTTAGTTATGTGTCGGACCTGGTGTGTGGTGGCTGGGGTTCTAGATGGGTGGCTGTAAGTGTTAGTTATGTGACGGACCTGGTGTCTGGTGGCTGGGGTTCTAGATGGGTGGCTGTAAGTGTTAGTTATGTGTCGGACCTGGTGTCTGGGGTTCTAGATGGGTGGCTGTAAGTGTTAGTTATGTGTCGGACCTGGTGTGTGGTGGCTGGGGTTCTAGATGGGTGGCTGTAAGTGTTAGTTATGTGACGGACCTGGTGTCTGGTGGCTGGGGTTCTAGATGGGTGGCTGTAAGTGTTAGTTATGTGTCGGACCTGGTGGCTGGGGTTCTAGATGGGTGGCTGTAAGTGTTAGTTATGTGTCGGACCTGGTGTGTGGTGGCTGGGGTTCTAGATGGGTGGCTGTAAGTGTTAGTTATGTGACGGACCTGGTGTCTGGTGGCTGGGGTTCTAGATGGGTGGCTGTAAGTGTTAGTTATGTGTCGCACCTGGTGTCTGGTGTCTGGTGTTCTAGATGGGTGGCTGTAAGTGTTAGTTATGTGACGGACCTGGTGTCTGGTGGCTGGGGTTCTAGATGGGTGGCTGTAAGTGTTAGTTATGTGACGGACCTGGTGTCTGGTGTCTGGTGTTCTAGATGGGTGGCTGTAAGTGTTAGTTATGTGTCGCACCTGGTGTCTGGTGTCTGGTGTTCTAGATGGGTGGCTGTAAGTGTTAGTTATGTGACGGACCTGGTGTCTGGTGGCTGGGGTTCTAGATGGGTGGCTGTAAGTGTTAGTTATGTGACGGACCTGGTGTCTGGTGGCTGGGGTTCTAGATGGGTGGCTGTAAGTGTTAGTTATGTGACGGACCTGGTGTCTGGTGGCTGGGGTTCTAGATGGGTGGCTGTAAGTGTTAGTTATGTGTCGGACCTGGTGTGTGGTGTCTGGTGTTCTAGATGGGTGGCTGTAAGTGTTAGTTATGTGTCGGACCTGGTGTCTGGTGTCTGGTGTTCTAGATGGGTGGTTGTAAGTGTTAGTTATGTGTCGGACCTGGTGTCTGGTGTTCTAGATGGGTGGCTGTAAGTGTTAGTTATGTGTCGGACCTGGTGTGTGGTGTCTGGTGTTCTAGATGGGTGGTTGTAAGTGTTAGTTATGTGTCGGACCTGGTGTCTGGTGTTCTAGATGGGTGGCTGTAAGTGTTAGTTATGTGTCGGACCTGGTGTGTGGTGTCTGGTGTTCTAGATGGGTGGCTGTAAGTGTTAGTTATGTGTCGGACCTGGTGTCTGGTGTCTGGTGTTCTAGATGGGTGGTTGTAAGTGTTAGTTATGTGTCGGACCTGGTGTCTGGTGTTCTAGATGGGTGGCTGTAAGTGTTAGTTATGTGTCGGACCTGGTGTGTGGTGTCTGGTGTTCTAGATGGGTGGTTGTAAGTGTTAGTTATGTGTCGGACCTGGTGTCTGGTGTTCTAGATGGGTGGCTGTAAGTGTTAGTTATGTGTCGGACCTGGTGTGTGGTGTCTGGTGTTCTAGATGGGTGGCTGTAAGTGTTAGTTATGTGTCGGACCTGGTGTCTGGTGTCTGGTGTTCTAGATGGGTGGCTGTAAGTGTTAGTTATGTGTCGGACCTGGTGTGTGGTGTCTGGTGTTCTAGATGGGTGGCTGTAAGTGTTAGTTATGTGTCGGACCTGGTGTGTGGTGTCTGGTGTTCTAGATGGGTGGCTGTAAGTGTTAGTTATGTGTCGGACCTGGTGTGTGGTGTCTGGTGTTCTAGATGGGTGGCTGTAAGTGTTAGTTATGTGTCGGACCTGGTGTGTGGTGTCTGGTGTTCTAGATGGGTGGCTGTAAGTGTTAGTTATGTGTCGGACCTGGTGTGTGGTGTCTGGTGTTCTAGATGGGTGGCTGTAAGTGTTAGTTATGTGTCGGACCTGGTGTGTGGTGTCTGGTGTTCTAGATGGGTGGCTGTAAGTGTTAGTTATGTGTCGGACCTGGTGTCTGGTGTTCTAGATGGGTGGCTGTAAGTGTTAGTTATGTGTCGGACCTGGTGTCTGGTGTTCTAGATGGGTGGCTGTAAGTGTTAGTTATGTGTCGGACCTGGTGTCTGGGGTTCTAGATGGGTGGCTGTAAGTGTTAGTTATGTGTCGGACCTGGTGTCTGGTGTCTGGTGTTCTAGATGGGTGGCTGTAAGTGTTGTTTATGTGACGGACCTGGTGTTTGGTGTCCTAGATGGGTAGTTGTTAGGGTTGTGATGTGTCGGACCTGGGCCCACTTGCACAAAGCGATCTTAGCGCTACGGCTATTGTAAGCCTATGTTAAAGTATGGGAGTTACGATCATCTTAGCACTAAGATCGCTTTGTGCAAGTGGGCGCTGGTGTCTGATGTCAAAGATAGGGGGCTTTAAGTATTGTGTAAGTGTCGAACCTGGTGGCTGTTGTCCTAGATAGGGGGCTTTAAGTGTTGTGTATGTGTCGCACCTGATGTCTGCTGTCCTAGATTGTTGGCTGTAAGTGTTGTGAATGTGTTGGACCTGGTGGCTGGTGTCCTAGATAGGGGGCTTTAAGTGTTGTGTATGTGTCGCACCTGATGTCTGCTGTCCTAGATTGTTGGCTGTAAGTGTTGTGAATGTGTTGGACCTGGTGGCTGGTGTCCTAGATAGGGGGCTTTAAGTGTTGTGTATGTGTCGCACCTGATGTCTGCTGTCCTAGATTGTTGGCTGTAAGTATTGTGTAAGTGTCGAACCTGGTGGCTGTTGTCCTAGATAGGGGGCTTTAAGTGTTGTGTATGTGTCGCACCTGATGTCTGCTGTCCTAGATTGTTGGCTGTAAGTGTTGTGAATGTGTTGGACCTGGTGGCTGGTGTCCTAGATAGGGGGCTTTAAGTGTTGTGTATGTTTTGGACCTGGTGTCTGGTGTCCTAGATTAGCGTGGGGTTGGGCTGTAAGTGCTGTGTATGTGTTGGGGCTAGTGACCAGTGTTCCACCCACCTGCAGGCCGGTGTGGTAAGCATACATCCCCGTCATGAAGGAGCTCCGAGACCTGCAACGGTCAAAGTAAAGAATGCCAACAAGATAGTATATATGTCCTTTGTCGTGGTATAACCATACCCACTATGAGTGGATTAGGCGTTTTTGAGTTGAAAACACAGATGGACTCGTGAACTCGAGGTGTTCTCGAAATGAATCAGATATGTTCAGATATACATGATATTCACACTCGTCCTATATTCCCGTCCCTTAAAATCAAGGCAAGATACGTGAACTCAAGTAAAGCGATGTTCCCGCGGTGTACACACAGGATGCAGACACGTGGCCTAAAGTAAAGCGATGTGCCCGCGGTGTACACACAGAATGCAGACAAGTGAACTAAAGTAAAGCGATGTTCCCGCGGTGTACACACAGAATGCAGACAAGTGAACTAAAGTAAAGCGATGTGCCCGCGGTGTACACACAGAATGCAGACAAGTGAACTAAAGTAAAGCGATGTTCCCGCGGTGTACACACAGAATGCAGACAAGTGAACTAAAGTAAAGCGATGTGCCCGCGGTATACACACAGAATGCAGACAAGTGAACTAAAGTAAAGCGATGTTCCCGCGGTGTACACACAGAATGCAGACAAGTGAACTAAAGTAAAGCGATGTGCCCGCGATGTACACACAGAATGCAGACAAGTGAACTAAAGTAAAGCGATGTGCCCGCGGTATACACACAGGATGCAGACACGTGAACTCAAGTAAGGCGATGTGCTCGTGGTATACACACAGGATGCAGACAAGTGACCTAAAGTAAAGCGATGTCCCGCGGTATACGCACAGGATACGCCTATGTGTACAAAAGTTAACAGATGTACTCACTAAGTATATTCATGATTCACACAGGTGTACTAAAGTTAACAGATGTACTCACGGTGTACAGAGGGGCGCAACATAGGAACTGTTCAGGATTACGCCAGCCTTTGCCAATTTGTCAAGGTTTGGAGTTATCATCTGGGGATTGTGCCAGCCTACGTCATTCCATCCTGACGGAGAAAGTGAGTGAGTGAGTTGGTTTTACCACTTTGGTGAAACCCAAGAGCACGGGTATATGGGGCTGACAAACCTAGAAACATAATCGAGGCGAGTGAGTGAGTAAGTTGGGTTTAACGCCGCTTTTAACAGTATTCCAGTTATATCACGGCGTGTCAGCTTAATGTGGGAGGAAAGCCCGAAGTGATGCAGGTCTAAGACGTTTACCACTTCGGTGAAACCCACGAGCACGGGTATGGTGCTGACAAACCTAGAAACATAATTTGGGCGAACCGGGATTCGAACCCACAATCATAGGTTTCTGGCGTGCCCAAGGGACGCAACTCTGCACAGCGAATCGCGGCGCTTTAGACGACTAGGCCACCCGTGCCCCATCCCCCATTTCTCCCGGACATATTTGTCCCGGCTCGAGACAGTCGACAGTATGAACAATTTGTTTTATCTTACTCTCCGTTGATTGGCTACTGATTTTGTAGGCGTGTCAAGTTATGTGCATAAATTAAACAATCACCTGATTATTTCATGCAACAGTATGAATTCCTACACCTGGAATGTTTATCAACCCCGTCATTTTTGTCTGCTTTGATATGTATATAACTGTTTCTTGTTGAACTAATGTAGATAAAACATGTTTTCGTTGTCGAATTTATTTTTAAGCATTGACTGCGTATGTGTTCGGTTAATTGAGGTATGATACGCAGATTCACATAGTTTGCACATCGGTTTTTCGATTCATACCTCAATGAACCGAAAAAAATACGTCAATCGTTACATATATATATATATATATATATATATATATATATATATATATATATATATATATATATATACAAAAATGAGGTAAATGTAAGATAGAGTCACTGTACACAAACAGCAGATTAGAGACCCTAATGTTCGATGCTTAGGTGTCAGCAAACACATTGATGATTGCGGAAACGGGAAATTTACTATTTTTCCGTTTTATAAATTGTATACATTTTATATATTGTAACAAGCAGCTGAGACTGGAAAAAGAACAAATGTTTATCCAATTGATGAAACCAAAGTTGAACTCTAGAATGTATTAATAGATTTGTCATTTCAATCGTAAATGTTGCACTGTTACTTTACAAATACTGTATATTTAATTCAAAAGTCTCCCTACAATTGTTAAATTACTTGGTGTCGTCGCTGAAGTGTGTAAATACATTGTGACGTCACAGTTGTAATTTATGACGTCATCATATGCATGACGTCATTATATGTCATTGTCCGTTACACTGAAGAGCTGTCATGAGACAGCGAAAGTACTATGTATGAAACTGATATAAAGAAGATGACGGACTAACGTGGACTTTATTATTTTATTATATATATATATATATATATTGATTGATATATATATATTGATATATATATATATATATATATATATATATATATATATATATATCAATATATAGGGAAATAAGCCTTACTGTTAGTACATTTGAAATAGCGCGCATATAAATTCAATACATGTCGGAATCAAAATGTTGATATGTTTGTGTGCATTGTATCCAACGCGTATTTGATACACAAGGCTGGGAAATCCATGACAGCATATCATTTCACTGTGTCTATAATTTAGTGTCTCCTTGTTCATTTCTATCAGTAGATCAATAATATCAATAATGTAATGTTACTTAATACAGCCCAATGTGAGGGAGTTAGGATGTACCGCTACAGTCTAATGGCATGATACATAATGTTATACCCGTGCATGTTATATATAGCTGTTATTGCTCCAACAATGAGTTTGTATTTGTTTTGATTTATGTATCTATTGATGTCACCATCACAAATAGCGACTTCATGTAAAGGGTGTTCAAGAAAATCTGTTCTTGACACATCGTGCTGTACATACAAAACGGCCGTCGCGTGAATGTACCCTTAGCGGTAGTCATGTGACTAGCAACACGTTGAAGTGTCACAGGAGGGGTTATAACCTGAGTACATGCACCCGCTCATATCAAGGTCAGTATAAGTGTTATTACGCTTGCCTTTAACAGGTTCAAGATCTGTGTAGGAACCAGAAACGAGAAAATCCCGATGACCCAATGGATGGGAGAATGTTGCTTTATGCCGCACTCAGCATTATTCAGCTATATGACGGCGGCCTGTTATTGTGTCTGGGCCAAGCAAGCCAGGGCTTTTATTACATGCCCGTGAAGAGATCACCCGTTTAATAAACATACAGCTGTATTACACATTGCGTAATACCAAAACGCGTGCTTGTGTACTCTCGGAACACGTTTCATGAACAAATATTGAAAGCTCTCAACATCCCTTGGCTTATTCAAAGACATTGCGTGTGGAGATGATAGATCACTGAGAGGAGCTTATGCACACTCGATGACCCCAGCAACCTTGTTGCTAGGCTGACGTCACATGGCATTGTTTTGCCGATGGATCTTGCAACAAAATTTCACAAATTACGTCATCGGGTATTGTAACGTGATTGTAAACTTTGAGGTGCAAGGCCCCGTTCCACATTGGGATTGTATTGTAGCGCAACGACAGTCGTTAGTCTAAGTTGAAGTTGAACTCGTTTAGTATTCTATATGACTACAACAAGCAACGCACCAGGCAATCGGGACACAATGACACACAAACAACCACATGTTATCAACACCAGATTCACAAACAAACGTATATTTAATGTGAGAGGAGTGTTTGGCAGTAATAAAATTCAGATTGCTTCGGTTAGTTACCCCCTTCGCGGATATCTGTATAGCTGGACAGGTATAGTGTCATGACTGAACTGTTCAGCAACTCTACCATGGCATTAATATATCACTTATATATTCGTTTGTTTGATGTTTAACGCTGCACTCAGCAATATTTCAGCTATGCGACGGCGGTCTGTAAATAATCGAGTCTGAACCAGACAATCCGGTGATTGATATCATGAGCATCGATCCATGTAATTGGGATATGATGACAAAATATATACGTAAATAACTGTTGGTATGTTGTAATTATATATAGCTGGGGATGATTTTAATCACATTTCCTGTGGTCTTACCTAAGTCATCAGCAGCGATGAAGACGATGTGTGGCGAAGTGGCCGCCTTGCTTGTCGCTATTATAAACAGGAGTACACACACACACCTGACCGCCGCCATGCTTGTCATCTGCGAGTGTGAGGGAGTCGTGACAGACAGCGACGTGGGTTACGTTGTGAAGTGTCTCCTCGCTGCAGGCTGTTATATGTGTATGCCCCAGTGAGTCAGGGATAGTTAGGGTATTGTAAGATAAAACCGACGTGTCGAGTTAACAGCAGGACTGACACAAAAGGAATGGGTTCAAAAACTGTGAACATACTGCTGTAAACTGTGTACATCCAGCACCCACAACCTTTAACGTCTGGAGCGAAACGCACCAACTTGAATAAAAGCCACAAAATCCGTTCCATATACAACAGAAATCTCTGCTAAAGCACAGTCGACTGTGCGATTTCGACTTTTTTAAGAGCATGTGTTAATGAATCACTATCAAATAGTGATGATACTAGGTGAAACACCGAAACTCTGGATTGATGTTAATCAGTTAACCTGGCACATGCGAATAGCGTTGTTATATTGATGCAGATTCGCGCAGGCGTTAAAGCGTTGTGCAGTGGTTTGTCACGCTGAGCACCCAAGTTCTATTCAACTTAGGAGTGCAAGGTGTACCCACGCGTGTCCCTGCCATCATATGACTTGAATGGTGCTAAAACCTGCAAAAACAAACGACAACATCTCAAGTTTAGTATACTTATATTGATTGTCATAAAACATGTTTATTGTCACAGCGACCGAATGAGGACAACCTTTGTCTGAATAAACATTTAACTCCAATGGCTAATTTCCATGTAACCATGACATGTATATGTCTAGAATCGCTTAACCGCCATTGCGTATAGCAAGAAAAAAAAGTTTGTTCAAAGGCCCATAGCCAAAACATAAGTTTAAGTAGCGCAGTACATGGATACAAATTGGCATGCGGCATACCCCATATAGAATTACCCAAACGAGTTAACCCTCGGAACAATGGGAACAAAGACTATAGTTAGTTCCTGACTCTATTGTAGGCTGCTGCGGGCCTAGTGACATATTACTATCAATTACGGCCGCCAGAAAGCGATAAAAGCGATATCGCTTTTTCGTCTCGTGTTATCGCGTTCTCGCGGTGAAGCAATATCCCCTCTTGGACACTATAGGGGTCGCACGTGTCATGTGTTTCTATACGATAAAACAATAGTAATGAATTGTTAAACGTCTAAGTATCATTAAGAGGCTGACCATTTAATATAGGGATATAGTGGCGAGGTGTGGAGGAGGGGGTCATGCTGTTGAGGACTGAAGGGGTTTTTCTCATAAAAGAGAGCTGAGATTTTTTTCCATTTACATTTCAAATTATACCCATTAAGGGAATGTTGAACGTTTCTCACTATTCACTTGTAACACTTATAACATATTATTATAGTAGCTGTGCAGGAGTAGGTCATTCTGGATTCTTCGTAAAAATTAACTGATTGTTTTATCGTAAGCTCGTGGTAATACTCTCTAAAAAAATAAATTTAAAATCTAGATTTATACTATTCAAAAGAAGTTTAAGAACACACGATTCTTTCATATGACTATGGATAATCTGTCATGAGAGAAAGCGATAGAGCAAGAAAGCCGTAAAGTGAGAAAGCCATAGAACGAGAAAACGATAGAGCGATACAGCGATAGAGGGAGGGAGCGATATTTCCCATAATGTCGTACATTACAAGTATTTGCTGATATTCAGTGATCGATTCCTATAATTTTCGCCGTTATTTTGCCTTTAATACCTAGAATGAATCAACATTTTGTCGTAGATAAAAATATGTTAGATAAAGATACAAAACGCTATCTCGTTTTGATTGTACACACGCATGTGTTTATTTTCTTGTATTGTACTAAATTAGCAAGATTCACATACACAGCAGAAAAGTCTTTTACTTTTACGTTTTTTCGCAAGAAATCCACAGAAAGTCTGCAGACTATTTGCTTTATTTTGCGAAACTTAATTGACCCTTTTATGGGAGTTTTATGCCTTTTGAGGATTGGGCGGCTGATTGCTAGTGGCGGACCCCGCCAGTTTGGTCCGTTGCTCGTGCTATCAACCACTGGTTTAGAACACGAGTTCAAAAATTGAGTCCATAGGAACATTCAGTCACATTCCATTCCACAAGATATTAAAACTGGCGACTCATATTATTGGAATCTTTGTTTGTTTGTTGTTTAACGCCACACTCATCTGAATTGAGTACATTGTCCTGTGTACACTTAATGTGTGCGGACATCTGTACTACGTTCATGCTACGCTCCATACTGATCACGTGTCTGTAGATGATAATAACCATTGCTGTACCACTCATGCGCAGTGATGACTCAGTATCACGCCACTGCCACGGGCTAATTTGCATATCACGTGACCGGACTTTTCTCTTTTGTTTGTAAACAAACGCGCTTATGCCTGAAATCAGAAGAAATGCCCTAATCCAAGCCTTTCGGTGCTCATTACATTGTTTTGCATAAATATATAGAGATGCTACTACAACTGCGATAGTGAGGTGCATGAAAATGTATATTATACATCAAAGAGACCGTATCGCTGGTTCTCTGTACGCAAATGGAAATATTTTTTCACGTTTTAGGATATTTTCTCAATGAAAGTTAAACATTTTATGCCATATGTTTATCTAGATGCGTATACTCGTCAAAAATGAAACATTAAAAACATATGCAATATCTTGAATGGACTGTTACATGGCGCTGGTCTGTGGCAGACGTACAATGTCTCTGGGTAGGAGAGTGCGTTGCTGGAGTGATGAAACGGCGGCTAAGAGTGAAATTGTACTGAAGTGAGTTTTCGATTAATGATTGGGAATTTGTAGCCATGCAAATAACATGTTGAAATAGCAAAGTGTTGAGTGCATGATGTTGCTGTGCATGTCAGTGTACCCGTACTCAGTCAGTCTAGAGTGAGTGAGGGAGTTTGGGTTAACGCGGTTAAGAACAGCATTTCCGTATTATCACCGCGTGTCAGCTTGCCTTTTGGGAAAATATAAGTCTTAGACGTTTACCACTTTGGGGAAACCCTGGAGCACGGATATGGCGCTGACGAACCTATACACATAATCAGGGCTAACCAGGATTCGAACCCACGCTCATAGGATTCAGGCACGTCTAAGGGACGCAACACTGCACAGTGAACAGCGAATGAGTAAACGCATTCACATGACCATTGGACTCACGTATGTATATTTAGCACGTTTGCAAATGACACATATGTATAGAGGTGCATGTGAACGGGGTATGAGACGACTGTGCCACCCTTGCCCCTGGTCAGTCTAGAGACCTTAATCAGTCTTAAGTCAGCATATGGTTCCGGCGGGACAACTATTTACCCTTGGTAATGAAGCCGAATCTCAGTCTCTCAACATGGACCATATAAAACGAAGATTGTGATTGGTCAATTATTACGATGTACGTACCACGAATATCATCCTCTCATCTTGTGGCTTTGATTTCCCTTCATGAGATAATCCACAGTATGTCTGGTTAAACAACCTGTAAAACATAACTAGGTAATCAGGCCATTCAAAAACAAATATGTTTGTTTAAATAAAATAATGAGCCTCTGCTACAAGTAAAGATTAACAGTAAGATTTGAGAAAGGAAAAAACGTGAAAAGCCTGTGTGTGCATTCAATTCCTGCACAGTAAGTGTGTTAATCAAGTCTTCAACAATCGTTGTACGAATCTATATCAGGGTTCAGCTCTACAAAGACACGTTAGCGGAAATATGATCCTAGGTCTAATGGTAAAGTATCGGACCAATGTCGTCTTCAGAGTGCTCCACCGTACACATGTTTGCATGCAAAAATCCATCCAACTTCCACTTGTTCTCTCATGCTCTCACGAGTACATGTAGGGAAACGAATGGAACTCAAATACTGGAATGGTTATTGTTTGTTCCAACTGGATGGTCTCTTAATGTTGTTTGTTGGTGTTTTGGTCCATAAAGGGAGGTCAACTCAACCCATCTGCGACCTCAGTTACCACCACTTTTGTAGAACTCCACCTTCCTCAAACACGGTGACATTTTAGTCATACCACGACGACAAACTTTCCACTATGCAAACAAGACATTTTTCTGACAACACACACAAGCCATAGGGCAAACTTACAACATGATGGTTAAACCTTCAGGTGCGTATGTGGTCTTATTGTATCAGTGAGTGAATGTTATGTTTAGCCATTGTCATCAATATTGAAACAAATGCCTATAAATAAACGATTCAAAATGTATTGGCAACGATCAACGACGTCGACGAGAGCCGAACATATGGGAGTAAGTTTGATCATTTGAACGCATGGTCGTTTGTTTGTTTGTTTCTTTTCCACAACATTTAGCCGCGATATTCTCACGCAGTTGCCGTAGCAGATAAGCTTACCCCAATTAATATAATAAACGTATGTCCGAGACTGACTCCAGTTTAATATATATGTATGTCAGAGACAACCTCTAGTTTAATTTATACGTATGTCGGAGACACTCTCTAGTTTAATATATACGTATGTCAGAGACAGCCACTACATCAGCATATACGTATGTCAGAGACATCCTCTACATTAATATATACGTATGTCAGAGACAGCCTCTACATCAGCATATACGTATGTCAGAGACAGCCACTACATTAATATATACGTGTGTCAGAGACAGCCACTACATCAGCATATACGTATGTCAGAGACAGCCTCTACATCAGCATATACGTATGTCAGAGACAGCCACTACATCAGCATATACGTATGTCAGAGACAGCCACTACATCAGCATATACGTATGTCAGAGACAGCCTCTACATCAGCATATACGTATGTCAGAGACAGCCACTACATTAATACATACGTGTGTCAGAGACAGCCTCTACATTAGCATATACGTATGTCAGAGACAGCCACTACATTAATATATACGTGTGTCAGAGACAGCCACTACATCAGCATATACGTATGTCAGAGACAGCCACTACATCAGCATATACGTATGTCAGAGACAGCCACTACATTAATATATACGTATGTCAGAGACAGCCACTACATTAATATATACGTGTGTCAGAGACAGCCACTACATTAATATATACCTATCTCCTCCAGTTCAATATATACGTGTGTCAGAGACATCCTCCAGTTTAATATGTACGTATGTCAGAGACAGCCTCTACATTAATATATACGTGTGTCAGAGACAGCCACTACATTAATATAAACGTATGTCAGAGACAGCCACTACATCAATATATACGTATGTCAGAGACAGCCACTACATCAGCATATACGTATGTCAGAGACAGCCACTACATTAATATATACGTGTGTCAGAGACAGCCAATACATCAGCATATACCTATGTCAGAGACAGCCACTACATCAGCATATACGTATGTCAGAGACAGCCACTACATTAATATATACGTATGTCAGAGACAGCCACTACATCAGCATATACGTATGTCAGAGACAGCCACTACATCAGCATATACGTATGTCAGAGACATCCTCTACATTAATATATACGTATGTCAGAGACATCCTCTACATCAGCATATACGTGTGTCAGAGACAGCCACTACATTAATATATACGTATGTCAGAGACAGCAAATACATCAGCATATACGTATGTCAGAGACAGCCACTACATTAATATATACGTATGTCAGAGACAGCCACTACATTAATATATACGTATGTCAGATACAGCCAATACATCAGCATATACGTATGTCAGAGACAGCCACTACATTAATATATACGTATGTCAGAGACAGCCACTACGTTAATATATACGTGTGTCAGAGACAGCCACTACATTAATATATACGTATGTCAGAGACAGCCACTACATTAATATATACGTATGTCAGAGACAGCCACTACATTAATATATACGTATCTCCTCCAGTTCAATATATACGTGTGTCAGAGACATCCTCCAGTTTAATATGTACGTATGTCAGAGACAGCCTCTACATTAATATATACGTGTGTCAGAGACAGCCACTACATTAATATATACGTATGTCAGAGACAGCCACTACATCAATATATACGTATGTCAGGGACAGCCACTACATTTATATATACGTATGTCAGAGACAGCCACTACATTAATATATACGTATCTCCTCCAGTTCAATATATACGTGTGTCAGAGACATCCTCCAGTTTAATATGTACGTATGTCAGAGACAGCCTCTACATTAATATATACGTGTGTCAGAGACAGCCACTACATTAATATATACGTATGTCAGAGACAGCCACTACATCAATATATACGTATGTCAGAGACAGCCACTACATCAATATATACGTATGTCAGAGACAGCCACTACATCAATATATACGTATGTCAGAGACAGCCACTACATTGATATATAAGTATGCCATAGACAGCCACTACCTTAATATATACGTATGTCCTCCAGTTCAATATATACGTGTGTCAGAGACATCCTCCAGTTTAATATGTACGTATGTCAGAGCATATACGTATGTCAGAGACAGCCACTACATCAGCATATACGTATGTCAGAGACAGCCACTACATTGATATATAAGTATGTCAGAGACAGACACTACATTAATATATACGTATGTCAGAGACAGCCACTACATCAATATATACGTATGTCAGAGACAGCCACTACATTAATATATACGTGTGTCAGAGACAGCCACTACATTAATATATACGTGTGTCAGAGACAGCCACTACACTAATATATACGTATGTCAGAGACAACCTCTACACTAATATATACGTTTTGTTGAAGAGAATCCTGAACAAGTCGAGCAATATGAGGCCGGGCGTTGTCATGTTGAAAGGTAATGCCTGGGCCTTGACGACGCAAAAACGGTAGAACAACAGGGCCGATGACCTCGTCGCGGAAGTGCTGTCCATTGAGATTTCTCTCTACCACTATCAAACGGGTCCTCTGTCTTGCTGTAATCCCATCCAATACCATTACGCTGCCGCCCCCGAACCGATCTTCTTCCATGACACAATGATTGACGTAACGTTAAACCTCGACGTCGGTACACTCGAATCCGTCCATCGCTGTGGCTGAGGTGAAAACGAGACTCGTCAGTGAATAGAACTTGTCCCCATTGCATGGCCGTCAAGCGTAGACGCTGTCTGCACCACTGTAGACGTGGTTTCCTGTCAAAATGGGACGTCTGGCGGGTCTTCTGGCGACAATCCCTGCACATCTGAGGCGGCGACGTACGGTTTGTGAAGATATTTGTTGAAGGCCAGGGATTCTTCTTGCAGTCACTGTTGCTGGCTGGAATCGATTTCGTAGGTGTGTTGTTCGAATCCAGTTGTCTTGTCGATTATTGGTTAGGCATGGCCTGCCACTCCGAGGATGGTCTCTGACTGCATTCGTCTGTTGCCAACGTTGCCATAAACACCAAATGGCGTTTCTGTGGACGTTAAATTGTCTTGCAACATCACGTTGACTCGATCCTGCTCAAGCATACCAATGGCTCGCAGACGCTCATTTTCGGACAGGCGTGGCATTTCGTAATGTTGAATAATTGAGTAATTCTGTTGTTTTTCTGAGTGGTTGTTGTCAGCACGATGCTAAACAATGCATATGGAATCCCGTTAACATGTTTTTATACCCATTCTTGGATAGTGAAATGCATGGGGGCTTGCATAAAAGTCAACTTTTGCATGGAATGCAGTTGCGTTTTTGTGACTTGATTCCATACATGTACTACAATACTGAAAACCAAACTTTGCTTGTTTGAAAAATACACTAAAATATTGGTGTCACAGGAACTTTTGCTGTTGAGTATATTTCCAATTCAATTACCTTAAGTTCGAAAGTCCAAAATTATCATCACCAACAACTCAAGGCAAAATTGCAAGAGACTAATTGGATGAAGCGCCCCTCAAATCATCATGAGAAAGACACTATCACATTTGTGCAGTGCACTCTCAAATAACTTATTTCTTCGGCTGGCATTGCCGCTTCCATTTTTGTCTAAAACACAATTCAGTTTGGATGTCTATTGTTACTGAGGCTCAGTTGCCCACATCTGCACTTTTACCTACTGATACAATAGGAAAAACTGGATCAATAATAAAAACACATATATACTGAACCGCAAAAGAAGCGTCAGCATGGATAGATATATGAGAAACCTTATTTGTCCAAACACTGTAAACATACTTTGAGACATATTAAAAGATGAAACTTGGCAAAACTGATCATCAAGGTTGAAATTAAAGTGTCAAATGTTCTTAAAGTGAAACACAACACTAGTCTCTGAGAAAATGGTATCACAAGTCAGTATCTCGTGTGTCCGCCATGTGCGTTGATGACTGATGTGCAACGTCGATACATGGAAAGGATGAGGCGGTTGATGAAGGCCATGAGCACTTATGCCAACACTCTGAGGAACGCCTGACGCAGTTCAGCTGCAGTTGTCGGCCTTGCATGGTCGGACGTCATTCAGCCGTCTTTGAATCTCGTCCCACAGGTGCTCAATGGGATTTAAATCAGGCCTGGGGACAGGCCACTGTATGGTTCTGATGCCATTCTGCTGGAGGAAGTCTCTTGTTGCTCTTGCAGTGTGGACCCCATGGTCTGCCGAGCAGTTTCCGCAGCAGTAACAAAGCGATCTTGAAGATGTTGTCGCACTATCTGACGATCCTGACGTCGGGTGGTGACCCTTGGACTTCCACTACGTGGTCGGTCATCTGTCACGCGAGTGATGGTGGTCTGGTACTGTTGCTGGAGCCTGTGTATGGTCCTTACGTGGACTGAAATGCATTGGCTGCTTGCCGGGCGGTTTGTCCAGCTTGCAATCGTCCAAGGGCTTGATGTCGCTGATTTCTTGTCAACCTTGGCATGTGGTAGCAATTTAATAACGAATGAATGTTATCCGATCTGGGTGGATTTTTATAGGACAAGAAATGGGGGAACACATGTGCATTTCAATTTGCACGGAACTCGCGTGCATCGGGTTACCATGGCCGTTGCCGTGATGCGTTTAGGCGTTCAGTTTTATTGTCGTCTGCTTTGTTTTTTATCATAAGATTTCATTTTTCCGGACAAAGTAATGTTAAATTTTAGAAACTTTGACAAATATTACCCAGATATTCAAATGACAAGTTATCATGCAATGTTACTTGGGGTGACGTTTCTTTTGCGGTTCAGTATATTATGGGATGAATCGTGACTTAATCGTGTTCAGCCCTTCACTTTGAACAAAGGTATGTCGTCAGAGTATAGTGACAAAATGTGCCGGTGAAGTGATCATCCGGAGCTTTTCACATCAAACCTTCACACCGTGTCGAGTTTGGTTTTACCCGCTGGAAATAAATTGGGAAGAAAGCATATATTGAGCAATCGCCTGAAGACAGTATACTATCAACCGAAGTATAACGGTGTTGATCCCTCGACCATTTATACTGCATAATAAAACAGAACACGAGATGTATATGTGAGGATTGCCCAAAGCAGGTCACATCATGGCTTATAATTAATGCCCTGGAAAGGATTTTTGAGTACTTTAGAAACAATAAAAGTTATGTCGATCTCGTGCATCTTTCGTGTTTGCATATCATTATCACTGTCATGTTTCAACCGCTATGACCCACTTCAGTGATGAATAGGTAGTTATCTCGAGCCATCTCGCATAGGCGGAGCTGTACAAATAGTACAAATAAGTAAGTACAAACTTACGCTGCACTCTGGTATGTTGGCGGTGTTCTATAGACTTACGTTGTACTCTGGTATGTTGGCGGTGTTCTATAGACTTACGTTGTACTCTGGTATGTTGGCGGTGTTCTATAGACTTACGTTGTACTCTGGTATGTTGGCGGTGTTCTATAGACTTACGCTGCACTCTGGTATGTTGGCGGTGTTCTATAGACTTACGTTGTACTCTGGTATGTTGGCGGTGTTCTATAGACTTACGCTGCACTCTGGTATGTTGGCGGTGTTCTATAGACTTACGTTGTCCTCTGGTATGTTGGCGGTGTTCTATAGACTTACGCTGCACTCTGGTATGTTGGCGGTGTTCTATAGACTTACGTTGTACTCTGGTATGTTGGCGGTGTTCTATAGACTTACGCTGCACTCTGGTATGTTGGCGGTGTTCTATAGACTTACGTTGTACTCTGGTATGTTGGCGGTGTTCTATAGACTTACGCTGCACTCTGGTATGTTGGCGGTGTTCTATAGACTTACGTTGTACTCTGGTATGTTGGCGGTGTTCTATAGACTTACGTTGTACTCTGGTATGTTGGCGGTGTTCTATAGACTTACGCTGCACTCTGGTATGTTGGCGGTGTTCTATAGACTTACGTTGTACTCTGGTATGTTGGCGGTGTTCTATAGACTTACGCTGCACTCTGGTATGTTGGCGGTGTTCTATAGACTTACGTTGTACTCTGGTATGTTGGCGGTGTTCTATAGACTTACGCTGCACTCTGGTATGTTGGCGGTGTTCTATAGACTTACGTTGTACTCTGGTATGTTGGCGGTGTTCTATAGACTTACGCTGCACTCTGGTATGTTGGCGGTGTTCTATAGACTTACGTTGTACTCTGGTATGTTGGCGGGGCTGTATCGACTTCCGCTGTATTCTGGCATGTGGGCAGGACTGTATAGACTAACGCTGTACCCTAGTGTCTGGGCGGGGCTGTATCGACTTATGCTGTATACTGGTATGTAGGCGGTGTTCTATAGACTTACTGTACTGTGGTATGTGGGCGGGGCAGTATAAACTTAAGCTGTACCGTGGTATGTGGACGGGGCTGTATAGAATTACGCTGTACCGTGGTATGTGGACGGGGCTGTATAGAATTACGCTGTACCGTGGTATGTGGGTGGGGCTGTATAGACTTACGCAGTACCCTGGTATGTGGACGGGGCAGTATAAACTTAAGCTGTACCCTGGTATGTGGACGGGGCTGTATAGACTTACGCTGTACCGTGGTATGTGGACGGGGCTGTATAGACTTACGCTGTACCCTGGTATGTGGACGGGGCTGTATAGACTTAAGCTGTACCCTGGTATGTGGACGGGGCTGTATAGACTTACGCTGTACCCTGGTATGTGGACGGGGCTGTATAGACTTACGCTGTACCCTGGTATGTGGACGGGGCTGTATAGACTTACGCTGTACCCTGGTATGTGGACGGGGCTGTATAGAATTACGCTGTACATATCCCAGTGTTGACGGGGCTGTAGAGGAATTACACTGTACCCTGGTATGTGGGCGGGGCTGTTAAGACTTACGCTGTACTCTGGTATGTGGACGGGGCTACATAGACGTACACTGTACCCTGGTATGTAGACGGGGCTGTGTAGACTTAAGCTGTACCAGGGTGTCTGGCTGGGGCTGTAAAGACTTACACTAAATATTGGTATGTGGTCGGGGTTTTTTAGACTTACGCTGTAGTCTGGTGTCTTGGCGGTGTTCTACAGACGTACTCCGTAAATTGGTGTCTGGGCGGTGTTCTACAAAACGTTCTCCGTACCCTGGTGTCTGGGCGATGTTCTACAGACTTACTCCATACCCTGGTGTCTGGGCGTTGTTCTACAGACTAACTCCGTGTCCTGGTGTCTGGGTGGTGTTCTACAGACTTACTCCATACCCTGGTGTCTGGGCGGTGTTCTACAGACTAACTCCGTGTCCTGGTATCTGGACGGTGTTCTACAGACTAACTCCGTGTCCTGGTGTCTGGGCGATGTTCTACAGACTAACTCCATACCCTTGTGTCTGGGCGGTGTTCTACAGACTTACTCCATACCCTGGTATCTGGGCGATGTTCTACAGACTTACTCCATACCCTGGTGTCTGGGTGGTGTTCTACAGACTTACTCCATACCCTGGTGTCTGGGCGGTGTTCTACAGACTAACTCCGTGTCCTGGTATCTGGGCGGTGTTCTACAGACTAACTCCGTACCCTGGTGTCTGGGTGGTGTTCTACAGACTTACTCCATACCCTGGTATCTGGGCGGTGTTCTACAGACTAACTCCATACCCTTGTGTCTGGGCGATGTTCTACAGACTTACTCCATACCCTGGTGTCTGGGTGGTGTTCTACAGGCTTACTCCATACCCTGGTATCTGGGCGGTGTTCTACAGACTTACTCCATACCCTGGTGTCTGGGTGGTGTTCTACAGACTTACTCCACACCCTGGTATCTGGGCGGTGTTCTACAGACTAACTCCATACCCTTGTATCTGGGTGGTGTTCTACAGACTTACTCCATACCCTGGTGTCTGGGCGATGTTCTACAGATTTACTCCATACCCTGGTGTCTGGGCGATGTTCTACAGATTTACTCCATACCCTGGTGTCTGGGTGGTGTTCTACAGATTTACTCCATACCCTGGTGTCTGGGCGGTGTTCTACAGATTTACTCCATACCCTGGTGTCTGGGCGGTGTTCTACAGACTTACTCCATACCCTGGTGTCTGGGCGGTGTTCTACAGACTTACTCCATACCCTGGTGTCTGGGTGGTGTTCTACAGACTTACTCCATACCCTGGTGTCTGGGCGATGGTCTACAGATTTACTCCATACCCTGGTATCTGGGTGGTGTTCTACAGACTTACTCCATACCCTGGTGTCTGGGTGGTGTTCTACAGGATTACTCCATACCCTGGTGTCTGGGCGGTGTTCTACAGACTTACTCCATACCCTGGTGTGCGGGTGGTGTTCTACAGACTTATTCCGTACCCTGCTGTCTGGGCGGTGTGCAGCATGTCCCTGTGCTGCCTCCACTCACAGGCACACGGGTTAAATTCGATTTGTGTCTACCTTATAGTGTGTGGTAATTTAGATTGGTGAGGGGGTTGTTTCTTTATTGCGTTTAGTTGTCCTGGTTCTCGTTGTATTGGGGGGAAGGGTTGGAGTTTTTTGGGGTTTTTTGCTTTTTATTTGGGATTGCTTCTGTTCTTAAGGGTTGTTGTTTGTTGTCCCTTTTTTGGTCTTGTTTTGCTTCTTCGCATACTTTAGGGGTGCAGTGGGGTCCCCTGTTATAGCGTTCGGTCGTCACGCCGAAGGCCCGGGTTCGATTCCACACATGAGTCCAATGTGTGAAATCCTTTTCTGGTGTTCCCCGCCGTGATATTGCTAAAATCAGCGTGTAACCATAATCTCTCACTGACTAAAGGGTGAGGTGAGGTGATAACGGGTTTGTTTTCGCCCCTTAGTAACGAGCGCCAGGCAGGGTGACAACATGTACCATCTTTTAACGTCTTTTGGTATGTCTCGGCAGGGGATCAAACCCCGGCCCTTCCGCTCTCCGGTTGGACGCTCTACCACCTCTCTCTAGGGACAGACCTACCTGGCTTCCCGGCCCTTCCGCTCTCCGGCCGGACGCTCTACCACCTCTCTCTAGGGACAGACCTACCTGGCTTCCCAGTCCTTCCGCTCTCCGTCCGGACGCTCTACCACCTTTCTCTAGGGACAGACCTACCTGGCCTCCCGGCCCTTCCGCTCTCCGGTTGGACGCTCTACCACCTTTCTCTAGGGACAGACCTACCTGGCCTCCCGGCCCTTCCGCTCTCCGGTTGGACGCTCTACCACCTTTCTCTAGGGACAGACCTACCTGGCCTCCCGGCCCACCTGGCAACAGGTGGAACACCACATGTCTTCAACTATTTCTACATGGAAACAAAAGAATCAGTTGTATACATGAAATGTGGTGTTATATTTCCGATAACAGGTGTTGGTTTCTTCAAACATATCTAGGACAAAAGCTACTTTATTGACCATAATAGCCACTGAAAGTTTTATACAAATACGTCCTGTGACGTTATGTACTGTATTGCTATGGGGGTGTGTGTGTGTGTGTGTGTGTGTGTGTGTTATAGACAGGACAACGTGTCTGTTCTCCCACATTACACACTGTTTTCACATAGCATCACATAATTCAGAATATTCTTACAGATTATGGACTCCACCTGCCTTAACATTGAGTGTAAAGTGAAGCTTGCGTTCAAGCACCATTTTTATTAAAAAATTCACCGAGTGGCGGTTGAATGAGCTACTGGTCACAGCGCTGGTTCGTCACGCAGAAGACCTGGGTTCGATTTCCAAAAATAGACTTACGTGTAGGTTAGACCACGAGGACCCAGTTTCTAATCGTTGAAATGGTTAAAAAATTAACATGAGGCGCGCAGTGAGGCCCGAGTGGTCTAACATACTTAAACCATGTCCAACATTTATGGCACCTAAAATGCTTAAAAAGCATTGTTTTGTTAAAGGTGTTTTGAAAGATATTCAGGAACTCTATGCTTAACTGTGAGAACACTGTGTGAGTCGCCCCTGCGTGAAGCACGTGAATTGTGTTCCCCGAGCCTTTCGCACGTGCACCTCGGTTATGAAATGCATGCCCCGGGGCAATTATACCATTCATTTTGGACCAACTCGAGCACATTTATCAATCAACTAAATATTACTTGCCCATGTTGACAAAAAACTACATTCGTTCACCTCCAGTGCGGACTTCGCGGGTTTGAATCCCGCTGGCGACAAACGTTTTTCAAGAAATTGTTCTATCATCAAGACAAATGAAAAAAGAAGTTCCGTCATTGCCAAGTGGTGTTTAACTAACAATTCAGTTAGCTAGACCATGGTCAAAGACAAAGGAGCCATGGTTTAATAGTACTTAATGTGGGTTTAAACTAAGTCATCCATTCATACGTAGGAACAGTTTCGTACACAGTGATAAGTAAACCTGTCCTGTAAACATCCTTTATTATGTCTACATCAGAGTGAGAAAGTGTTACGCCTTCAAGGTTGCTTCTGTTTGACACAATAAGGACCAGAACTGTCACCGTTCCTGTTTGCGGTCTCCGATTGCGATTTTAAGCTTCAAGTGATATCATCTTATGTTAAACGCAGTGACAGCCTCGTCATATATCGCAGCAGTGGTTCCTAAGTATAACCTACTTTTAGTTCGTAAGGAGGGGCGCAACTAGGCTCATTTTAAGTGTAAGCATTAATCTCATGTTCGACCGTGTAGAGTATGAATTAATAATATACTGCATAGATGGTAAATTGAAGTTTACATATTTCAGATTATCGTGCCTCTTTAGGGTGTAAGCAATTGCTTTTCTGCTACAATGGTAGTTTCGTCCCTGGGAAGTCATGTGACAGGCATGTGACGTGGATACTTCTTGCAGGGTTTAAAGCACATTGTCAATGTGTTGCATTAACACTGCGTTACTATACGGGATCGGAGTGACGATACTACAAATCTTGTGATGGGAGATTCCCCGTGGTAATCACGGACACTGCTCGTGATTATGAGTTGTAGATGAACGAGGCAGTAAGTTAGTCATGCAGTACTCGCTGTCTTTAATGTGTTTTTCTATTGCGAAGGATCTTAGTACTACAGTACAGGAAATGACACACTATCATTTACTATAGAATGCCATGACACACGTACTTCTGCACATTATCCGTGATATATCGCATGACGCTGAATAAACACTATATTCTACCACATGACAAACCACAATTTCTTATAGTCAAGCACTTGGTCAACTAAATTATACACTGTATTCTACCACATGACATACCACAATTTCTTATAGTCAAGCACTTGGTCAACTAAATTATACACTGTATTCTACCACATGACATACCACAATTTCTTATAGTCAAGCACTTGGTCAACTAAATTATACACTGTATTCTACCACATGACATACCACAATTCCTTATAGTCAAGCACTTGGTCAACTAAATTATACACTGTATTCTACCACATGACATACCACAATTCACTACAGTCAAGCACTTGGTCAACTAAATTATACACTGTTTTCTACCACATGACATACCACAATTCACTACAGTCAAGCACTTGACCAACTAAATTATACACTGTATTCTAACGCATGACATACCAGAATTCACTACAGTCAAGCACTTGACCAAATAATTTATACACTGTATTTTCTACTACATGACATACCACAATTCCTTATAGTCAAGCACTTGGCTAAATAAATTATACACTGTATTCTGCCACATGACATACCACAATTCCTTATAGTCAAGCACTTGGTCAACTAAATTATACACTGTATTCTAACGCATGACATACCAGAATTCACTATAGTTAAGCACTTGGCCAAATAATTTATACACTGTATTTTCTACCACATGACATACCACAATTCCTTATAGTCAAGCACTTGGCTAAATAACTTATACACTGTATTCTGCCACATGACATACCACAATTCCTTATAGTCAAGCACTTCGTCAACTAAATTATACACTGTATTCTACCACATGACATACCACAATTCCTTATAGTCAAGCACTTGGTCAACTAAATTATACACTGTATTCTAACGCATGACATACCAGAATTCACTATAGTTAAGCACTTGGCCAAATAATTTGTACACTGTATTCTACCACATGACATACCACAATTCACTACAGTCAAGCACATGGCCAACTAAATTATACACTATATTCTACCACATGACATACCACAAATCCTTATAGTCAGGCAATTGGCCAACTAAATTATACACTGTTTTCTACCACATGACATACCACAAATCCTTATAGTCAGGCAATTGACCAACTAAATTATACACTGTATTCTACCACATGACATACCACAATTCCTTATAGCCAAGCAATTGGCCAACTAAATTATACACTGTATTCTACCACATGACATACCACAATTCACTACAGTCAAGCACTTGGGGGACTAAATAATACATTGTATTCTACCACATGACATACCACAATTCCTTATAGCCAATTATTTGGCCAACCAAATAATACACTTTATTCTACCACATGACATACCACAATTCACTATAGTCAAGCACTTGGCCTACTAAATTATAACCTGTATTCTACCACATGACATACCACAATTACTTATAGCCAAGCACTTGGCCAACTAAATAATACACTTTATTCTACCACATGACATACCACAATTCACTATAGTCAAGCACTTGGCCTACTAAATTATAACCTGTATTCTACCACATGACATACCACAATTCCATATAGTCAAGCATTTGGCCAACTAAATTCTACACTGTATTCTACCACATGACATACCACAACTCACTACAGTCAAGCACTTGGCCAACTAAACTATACACTGTATTCTACCACATGACATACCACAACTCACTACAGTCAAGCACTTGGCCAACTAAACTATACACTGTATTCTACCACATGACATACCACAATTCCTTATAGCAAAGCACTTGGCCAACTAAATTATACACTGTATTCTACCACATGACATTCCACAATTCACTATAGCCAAGCACTTGGCCAACTAAATAATACACTGTATTCTACCACATGACATTCCACAATTCCTTATAGCCAAGCACTTGGCCAACTAAATTATACACTGTATTCTACCACATGACATACCACAATTCACTGTAGTCAAGCACTTGGGTGGCTAAATTATACACTGTATTCTACCACATGACATACCACAATTCCTTATAGTCAAGCACTTGGCCAACTAAATTATACACTGTATTCTACCACATGACATACCACAATTCACTACAGTCAAGCACTTGGCCAACTAAATTATACACTGTTTTCTACCACATGACATACCACAATTCACTACAGTCAAGCACTTGGCCAACTAAATTATACACTGTATTCTACCACATGACATACCACAATTCACTACAGTCAAGCTCCTCAGGGGGAAGCTGTAGAGGTTCCTGTGGAGGAAGCTGTAGAAGCTACTCTGGAGGAAGCTGTAGAAGCTACTCTGGAGGAAGCTGTAGAAGCTCCTGTGGAGGAGGCTGTAAATGTTCCTATGGAGGAAGCTGTAGAAGCTCCTGTGAAGGAAGCTGTAGAAGCTCCTGTGGAGGAGGCTGTAAATGTTCCTATGGAGGAAGCTGTAGAAGCTCCTGTGAAAGAAGCTGTAGAAGTTCCTGTGGAGGAAGCTGTAGAAGCTCCAGAGGGGGAAGCTGTAAAAGCTTCTGTGAAGGAAGCTGTAGAAGCTCCTGTGAAGGAAGCTGTAGCAGATCCTGTGAAGGAAGCTGTAGAAGCTACTGTGGAGGAAGCTGTAGAAACCCCTGTGAAGGAAGCTGTAGAAGCTCCTTTGGAGGAAGCTGTAGAAGCTCCTGTGGAGGAAGCTGTAGAAGCTCCTGTTTGGGAAGCTGTAGAAGCTACTGTGGAGGAAGCTCTAGAAGTTCCTGTGCAGAAAGCTGTAGAAGCTCCTGTGGGGGAAACTGTAGAAGCTACTGTGGAGGAAGCTGTAGAAGCTGCTCTTGAGGAAGCTGTAGAAGCTGCTCTTGAGGAAGCTGTAGAAGCTCCTGTGGGGGAAGCTGTAGAAGCTGCTCTGGAGGAAACTGTAGAAGCTACTGTGGAGGAAGCTGTAGAAGTTGCTCTGGAGGAAGCTGTAGAAGCTCCTGTGGGGGAAACTGTAGAAGCTCCTGTGGGGGAAGCTGTAGAAACTCCTGTTGGGGAAACTGTAGAAGCTCCTGTGGAGGAAGCTGTAGAAGCTGCTCTGGAGGAAGCTGTAGAAGCTCCTGTGGAGGAAGCTGTAGAAGCTCCTGTGGAGTAAGCTGTAGTAGCTCCTGTGGAGGGAGCCATAGAAGCTCCTTTGGGAGGACCAGGCCATGCAGGCTATAGGGCTTCATCGTAGTGGGTCGTAGAGCGAACGCATCGTCGCCGTTGAAGAAGTAGGGCACATCCTGGTTGTCGTTGGGAAGAGGATCTGGATCAGGGAAACCTAGGGTACCATTTTCAGCGCATTCCTTCAGCTCAGGGTCATTGTAAATCTGAGCGTCTGATACTGACCCAGCACCACCCAGATCTGCCCAAATGATTTTGTAATCAGCATCTCCATCCAGAAAAATGGAGTAGAATCCTTTGTAGTTGAAGTACATGGACCCACTCTGTCGAGGACACCGACAGGCAATGTGCTTACCATCAAGTGCTCCAAGGGGAAAGTTCCACTCTTCCAAGAAACTTGTCAGCAATGGCACGCCATCCTTCAGGAGTGTTTGGACTATTTATCACCTCGTCCATTTATTCGTCAAAGATTTCCTGACAGACCTCTCTGGCGACGATTGACATAGTATTGTGAGGGACCCTCCAGCTGAACTTCATCGAGGCATACTTGCTTCTAGAGGGAAGGTGACGCAAAGTCAAGGCAATCCTCAAGCTAGGGTCGAGCGGTTCCCTGAAGCTGGTATGTTGCTTGGTTATCCTAGAGCCCACTCTGGCTAGCAGCTCATCGAACATCTCGGGGGGCATCCGCATGAAGGTGCCTGGTCCTCGTCACGGAGTTCCGCCAGAGGCTGGTCATACAGGCCAAACTGCCGTCGCCTCCCGATCCATGGTCTGACCCAGACCCTCCACCGTTGACCTCTTCTCCTCCTTCTATTTTCATGGATCTGGAAAAGTGTCAATTGGAGGATGTCATGCTGATGTTGGAGAATGGCTATTTTTTCTTGGCGCAGCCTCTCAGGATCCTTCGCCTCTATCTTCTATGGTGTCTCCATCAGGAGTGATGAGGGGGTACTGACCGGGACCCAATATAGACAGAAACCCCCCCAAAACGCTGGTACTACGGTACAAATACGCTAGCTAAACGTTAGAAACACGTTTAATAAGTTATTTTGTCGTCAGCTACTACATGATACTGTATATTTCACGCTACAGTACACTACATACTATTTATAAGACACTGTACGAAACGACACCACGCACTATTTTCACATATACATATATTAATGTGCCAGTATTGTGTACTAAAGTCAAAATGGTCCCAACACTGAACACTTAGTCATGCGTCTTTATCTGCACCCTTAAGAAAAGCTTACTAAAAAATAGATCCGTCTGAGAGTATGTACGGCCCTGCTTCCTGGTCGGGTGTTCGTCACTTCCTGGTATATATGCCAGTTTGCACCTACCTGTCTCTCTACCTGCCTGTTTCACTCCCTCTCTAGGGTTAGGGGGGGGGGGGGGATTGATTGAGGAGTGTTACACTGCTGTCAACAATTTTCAGTGAGCATGGAGGATGGCGGTTGTTGTCAACTCCAGTTTGTGTGTGTGTGTGTGTGTGTGTGTGTGTGTGTGTGTGTGTGTGTGTGTGTGTGTGTGTGTGTGTGTGTGTGTCCCAATTACAACGTGTATGTTCAGCATAAATCATGTGTATGAGTGTGTGTGTGTGCGTGCGCGTTGGTGCGTGTGGGGGTATGTGTCTGTGTCTGTTTCCATTGATGCCTGGATCTATTGTATACACGATGTGTACTTATACCTCCCCACAGATGCCTGGATCTGTTGTATACACGATGTGTACTGATACCTCCCCACAGATACCTGGATCTATTGTATACACGATGTGTACTGATACCTCCCCACAGATGCCTGGATCTATTGTATACACGGTGTGTACTGATACCTTTCCAAAGATGCCTGGATCTATTGTATACACGATGTGTACTGATACCTCCCCACAGATACCTGGATCTATTGTATACATGATGTGTACTGATACCTTCCCACAGATGCCTGGATCTATTGTATACACGGTGTGTACTGATACCTTTCCAAAGATGCCTGACCTTTTGTATACATGGTGTGTACTGATACCTCCCCACAGATGCCTGGATCTATTGTATACACGGTGTGTACTGATACCTCCCCACAGATGCCTGGATCTATTGTATACACGATGTGTACTGATACCTTCCCACAGATGCCTGGATCTATTGTATACACGATGTGTACTGATACCTTTCCAAAGATGCCTGATCTATTGTATACATGGTGTGTACTGATACCTCCCCACAGATGCCTGGATCTATTGTATACACGGTGTGTACTGATACCTCCCCACAGATGCCTGGATCTATTGTATACACGATGTGTACTGATACCTCCCCACAGATGCCTGGATCTATTGTATACACGGTGTGTACTGATACCTCCCCACAGATGCCTGGATCTATTGTATACACGATGTGTACTGATACCTTTCCAAAGATGCCTGATCTATTGTATACATGGTGTGTACTGATACCTCCCCACAGATGCCTGGATCTATTGTATACACGGTGTGTACTGATACCTCCCCACAGATGCCTGGATCTATTGTATACACGATGTGTACTGATACCTCCCCACAGATGCCTGGATCTATTGTATACACGGTGTGTACTGATACCTCCCCACAGATGCCTGGATCTATTGTATACACGGTGTGTACTGATACCTTCCCACAGATGCCTGGATCTATTGTATACACGATGTGTACTGATACCTCCCCACAGATACCTGGATCCATTGTATACACGATGTGTACTTATACCTCCCCACAGATGCCTGGATCTATTGTATACACGATGTGTACTGATACCTTCCCACAGATGCCTGGATCTATTGTATACACGATGAGTACTGATACATTCCCACAGATGCCTGGATCTATTGTATACACGATGTGTACTGATACATTCCCACAGATGCCTGGATCTATTGTAATCACGATTCCACACACGATGTGTACAGCTTACTGACATATTTTCCCCCACTTACAGTCTGAATTGTCGCCATGGTCGTAGTTATTGTTCCTATACGATAATCTACAGGATTAACTCCTTCCATGTTGTGTATCATACATATCTGATATTCACTAGGGACGGAGGATCCAGTACCTTTCTAATTCACTCTGCCATGGAAGAGGTTTAAAGACCTAATATATATCTAGAATGTCACACACCCGGACGTCAACCGGGTATTGTTCAACTACATACAGGCCCTGTAGTCCAGGCCAGCGCCAGTATTAAAGATAAGATCTCGTTTATTCTATATCACTTACGGCGTTGCTGGTAGTATTCTGTAAAAGGCAGTCATCTGTACCATACTCATCTGTCGAAGTCCGTATATAAACTGGAAAGGAGAACATTCCGGTAGTATGTGTCATTGATACAATGTAGTGTGCTGAATAGTGCGGGTTCTTTTTCATTGAGTGAGCGAGCGAGTAGGGTTCAATGCCGCTCTTTGTAATATTCCAGGAAAGTCTTGCCCGGCGACATCAGTAATGGGCTTCAAGCAATATACACACATTAGGAAACGAAGTTGGGTCTTTGGTGTGACAAGCTAATGTTTTATCCTTTAGAGCAACTGCCGGGCAAAAGAAAATAAACACTTGAAAATTGGACCAAATGTTACAAACGTTATCAAAACGTTTCTTGTCTGAAACAGTCGATGACACACTGCAAACTTCAACGGAAACAACACTCCAACTTTCAAAGTATTCAAATATGGATCGGCTTTTTCTTCGCGAAATAGAAATTTGCTTATTATGGACTATAATGTCGACTGGTTTGACTTGTGTTCGGCGTTATTCTCGCTGCGCTGCGCGAAGCGACATCTATCGTCCAGTCGTCCAAAACACAACTCTGATACCCGTATCACACACAGCACCATCAAATACCCCGTAACCATTTCTTGTTTGCTTCACTTGTAGCCCACCATCAGACAGGGATATACTTTCTTTTGCCCGGAGTTTAGTTCCCTCACGGAATTAAATAAGCGCTTGATACCTGCATGATACACACGTACATCATGTCGGCTATCTAACTCGTGACGTACTTATAAACTTGGGTAGTGATAGTTCATACTCTCATCGGACACGTCTTTGCAACAACGACTCTGAGCCGTGACTTATGCTAATGGCTGTGGTTGTGCAAGTTTATATTCTCATCGTAGATGTCTTGGAAACAACGGTTGGTGACATATATAGCTGACTGGGGTTGCGTAAATTCATACTCTCATCGGAGACCTCGTTGTAACAACGGCTGGTGACGTATACAGCTCGCTAGGGTTGTGATAGTTCCGATGATACTCTCAGCGGAGACGTCTTTGCAACAACGACTCTGAGCCGTGACGTATGCTAATGGCTGGGGTTGTGTAAGGTTAAATTCTCATCGGAGACGTCTTTGTAACATCTTGTGACGTTTGCAGCTGGCTTGGGTTGTATAAGTTCGTACTGTCATCGGAGATGTCTTGGAAACAACGGTTGGTGACGTATAAAGCTGGCCGGGGTTGCGTAAGTTCAAACTCTCACCGGAGACCTCGTTGTAACAACGGCTGGTGACTATACAGCTCGCTAGGGTTGTGATCTAGTTCCGATTATACTCTCATCGGAGACGTCTTTGCAACAACGACTATGTGCCGTGACTTATGCCAACGGCTGGGGTTGTGTAAGTTCATACACTTAAAGGTCAACAATTTGATAGTCTGGGATTATAGAAATTTGTTCCCGAAATCCTGGAATAAACTAGTTTGGCCTCGGGTTTACAAAAAAGTGTGGATGTCTGGAAAGACAATATCTTACTTACTGGTGAGTGTATGACCCAAGATTTGTTTGACCCAAGAACCAACTCATCTCTTGTATATAGGTTCTGTGAATGTTTCACAATGAAATCGTCTCTAACCTGCATGACTTGGAGCTTTCCTTCAACTTCAAGTTCACACACCGAGGATATAGCTGGAATACTGTGTTCAAAGTGGCGCTAAACCAAATTCATACACTAGCAGAGACATACATTGATAGTACATTGCAATTATTAACGTTGATATTATTTAGCATTATTTTATTGTTTAACAATAAATTACTCTGCAATATATCAGCATAAATCATTATATTTATAAGGACGAAAATAGGACAATTCGGCCTACATTTATAAAATATGTAGTGTTGTGTCTGTGAACAGCTTGTCTGTTTAGCCGATGCAACACGTGTATCAAGGTTTAGCATCTCGTCCAAGATTATTGCACTTATATAGCGACGTGCATGCTCGTGTGTGTGCGTGGCTGCTTGCACTATATAGACCGGACTGATGCCGATTTATAGTGCTAGCCCAGTTTAAGATGAATACCCCAAACGGACACAGTACCGGGCTCCGAGCCAACCAGTGCTTATTTCAGCCCTTTAATGCCGAGCGCAAGACAGGGTACCAACAAATACCATCTTTAAACGTCTTTTGGTATGACGCGCCCGGGGATTGAACCCCGGACCTTCCGCTCTTCGGGCGGACGCTCTACCACTAGACCGCGGAGTCGGTCATGCTTTATCTGAGGTAATCACGTTAGATTCATATTAGACATAGACATATTAAGATAGCCTTTAGTGCTTTCAGAGATTCGTGCAACCGACCATCTACTAATCAACTCATGTCCACTTTATAATAATAATAATATAAATAATAATAATGATCAACATCAACAAACAAACAATCAACCATCTTTTCTCAGGTTTTTGGCGATTTATTATCATACTATAAGTTCAACCTACCTCTTCACAACACTTTAATTCTCCTGAGAATTGCTTCATTATCAATGTAGCGCACATAACAGTGGAGGTACGTAACACATCGAACCCGGAAGCGAAGTTCAGTCAGTCAGTCAGTCAATCTATATCGATGTCTCGGGGGGTTCTCGCAACACTGCAGGTATTAGGCTTTTAGTATCCCCGGGAGAGCATGTCTATGTTTAAGACAAAACGAATTAATATAGTAATGTTATCATTATATACCGATTTGTCATAAGTATGTGAAATACTTTCAAACATTTTAAGTTGAATTGTAATTCGTTTTAAAATTATCATGCTATGCATCCTAATTTCGTTGTGGTAACATACAAGAACACAAATTCTTGATTTTCATTTGACATGTTATGTTTGAGGTTTCAGTCAAACTATTATCAATACCGTTAGTGTCTCTGAAATTGGGATATGTTCATAACAGAGACCATGTACCGATATATCGGTATATGGTCTCTGGTTCATAAGAATTCCACGAACATGTAAAAGAAATTTCATTCCATATTATTTTTAATGGATTCCATAAAACAAATCACCAATTGAAAACAATTTATGCCTTTCCGCTGTTTTTTTCGTTGACACGCCCTCTGTTTTACCTGAGGATCAGTTATCAGTTTTCTCAAACATAAGTTGTACCCCTTTGTTATATTCGCACTGTAACTTATCCAGGCCACATTTCCCGATGTCATATTCATGCGCCATTTACGACATGTGTAGCAAAATCATGTCTCATTTACTACAATAATTGTTCGCATATGTACAAACTATATTAGTCAAATATATTGTAAACTAGAATGTAAATGGTCCTTATTAATATCATGGGATCTATTTTATATCGCGGCTTGATTTCAGGACGGCGACACGTGTCACTTCCGGTTATCAGGTACTCGTGTTGATCAGAACGCCTTCGTAACACAAATTGTAAAATTGTCAACAAGGGAAGACCGTGAACGTGGTTGCTGGAAACTGAGGTAGGTGGAAACGTTCTTTACCATCTGTCTGTGAAAGACAGCCAAATGACACAGTAAGAACCTCGTTATCAGCACGTGATGCAGCTGGGGGTTGCTCCGACACAAACGTCGTCTGCAACCGGCGTCGTGTTGACAGTTGTCAGTTGTCATGCATCTGTCAAAACCGATGAATTTTAGACATCTGTGCGGAATCTGTTGCAGTTTTTAAAGTCGAATGATGTTGTTGATTGTGATATGTACATTGAATAGGAGATTTACATGTGAGTTACTGGTTACTGGGGATAGCGATAAACTTGTGAGTGCAGGAATTGATCCAGACCTGTTCAGAGACAGACATTCAGGCCCAAGTCTGCTGCAGATGTCAGTAACAATTCCCAAAATAGAATAACAAATGTTCCAATACATAGTTATAAGTAATGTGATGGCTTGGATAAGGGGCCTTTTATTTTACTCATAACAGGACCAATGCACGTGTACTAGTCTTTAAGCTTACTGTCAACCTACTCCCCCACCCCCGTAGAATGCAGTGTTAAAATACACTGTTCCTCTGAAATTATGAAAAACAAATTGGTTCCCAATTTTTGAAGAAAATATTAATTTTGTTTTCCTTTCTCAGTTTTCCTGTGAAGTGCATTTATTTGGGAATCCTAAATCATGTAGATTAATCCCTATGAGTGTCAGTTGCGCTGTGTTTGTTCGGCTTGGGTTAGATACAAGTCATTGGTTTGAGTACAATGTAACTAAAAAAACAACTGTAGATTAAACAGGTGTCGACAAGTAACATGCACACAACCACACGTAGCCTACTGTTCAAATATGACTATCCTCATTTTTACATGAGTGTCAAATAAGGAGAAAAATATGCAATCAAATGTTATGTATTCATTAGTTTTAGATTCACACATATCATGGTTAACAACTGTAAAAAATAATTTGTACAAGAAGAAAGTGCAATCTGGGATCAACATTGATCATGTTTACATTTGACATCAAATGTTGAGCTATTTTTAACAGCAACTTACATTGGAGGTTAATGACATGACTGAAAGTTGTTCCTCACTTACATGATTAAGTACTTATCATGCAAAACAGAAAACAAATATGGATTGTATATGTCAAGAAAAACTGGGCCAATTGCAATGTGATGACTGATAAGTACGTTCAAACATATCTTTCATATTACAGTCTAAAATAACAAATATCACAATAGCTATTTTTTACCATTGAAATATAAAGACACACATTGACTGTTATCATTTATGTCACTTGCTTTTCCTTTCCTTTACATTAATACTAAGGTTGGGTTGTCAGGCTCTATGACTTGGCTAACTGGGTGTGATCATACCGTGAAGGTGTGGGACATTGATGATGCAACTGACCACTGGTTTGCTAGGCCCAGACTCACTTATTACATGGCACCATGTTAGAACTGGAATATCGCTGATTGCTGTGCTAAACAACAAGCAAATAATAAAATTGATGAGGTCCTACACATTTTTTTTTATGAAAGCATATGTTTATGTTCGATGAAAGCATATGTTTATGTTCAATGAAAGATAAGGTTGAACTGACAGTTTTTGATAAATATTACGGTAGTAAAACAAAAGTGGCAGCTGTGTTGTGTTCCCATTGTGGAATTAGACAGACAAGGCAAAATAAAATACTTTAAGCTCAGCTTTCTGTGATGTTCATGGTGTGTGACCTTGCTTTATATGTCTGTGTATATTTACTATTGTGGAATCTGCAATTCAATTTTTCAAGAATTTTCCCTTTTGCCAGTGAAACATTTTTTGTGACAAACCTTTCTTGAATCATAAAAACCCAAAGCTTAGATTCAACCTAGCCTTACAAATGAGAATTGTGTTATATCAACTCAGAGGTTTCTTCACCTATGTGAGGATAAGATGGTGCAGAATGTTTTTACCATCTCTTAACAATTTAACTTGACAGTTACATTTGAACTTATAAACTGAACTAATTTTAGAAGCCTGAATGTCCTATTGAACCAACCTACTTACAGATACGCAGTGGTACTTGAAGTGCTTAATTGTGTTACGTTCAGGTGTTTCAATGTCTGTATTAGAATCCTATGGATAAAGCATGCAGTAGACCGAAGTAGACGTGCTGTGGTGCCCTAAGGTTACCTCAGCTTGTAACATTACTGTATCAGTGTGCGTGTCATGTGGTCAGGGAAACCCAGATATCTGCACGTCAACACCTTCATTAAGAAGTTGAACAGGAATTTCCTCACTGCCTCAGATAGCAAATACTAGCATTCCTAGAACAAATATTGCTGGATGTTGATGATAGAAGGTGTATTTGTTTTAAAGCGGGCTGTTAACCCCAACCCATGTTACAGGGCTGGTCCATGTTGCTCTTCAACGTTGACACCAGTGGACACAAATCTGTAGGCGATGGGAGGGAGGGAGGGATTTTTGTCATCGGAATCTGGTTGCCACAGAGAAGATAATTTGTTGTAGCACTTATCAGTTTGTATCCGTCCTTAAAGAAATGGTAAAGGTGACATGTGGTCTACCATTCATGTATCACTGTTTGCCCACTCTTGACTCGCCCTTTGAATCAGCTCCAAATATCATCCTCTAACTGGTCCTGAGTCCAGAATGGTATTTCATCTTGTGAACATGGCATGTGTGCCCCTGCTGGGCACTTTGAAGTCAGTAGGTTTGTCTATGCCCTGTTTTGGTATTCACATCAACATACAGAATGAAACTATTCTGGAGACCAGAACATTCTCCCTACTGTTGCATACCTCCTACAGAGATCAGCATAATGCTTGCTGTATTATTCTTTGTTTAGAAATTTGCCAGTCTTAGTCATGAGAAGTAGGAAATGTTTCAATAGTGAGTCTAAATTTTATGATGCCAAGTCAAATGTGTTTTATTCAGGTTGCATGATACCTGGTGATAAGTACATGAGAAAGCATGCCTAAATGCAGCCTGCTTGATAAAAGAATAATCAGTTTGATGTGGCTTGAGCCTGAATCTTTTCGTTCTTTGTCACACCAATGGCAGAAATACTGAGGACAGAAGTAGCCATTGCTGGAAGTGATATGTGATTAAGACACAAAACATTGGATGGAGATAACTTTTAGTTAGGTAAACTTGATATACAGTAATGTATAATGTAGATCAACGTTTTCTCATATACATGTATAGTATGTTGTCATATGAGGTGGGGCAGTCAGGTAGCTAATGGTTAAAGCGTTCGCTCGTCATACCGAAGACCCGGGTTCGATTCCCGACATGGGTACAATGTCTGAAGCCCATTTTTGGTGTCCCCTTCCATGATAATGCTGGAATTGCTACAAGCAGCGTAAAACCATACTCACTCACTATCACATGAGGCTCCAAGAGGGGAAGTCACTACATTTTTCTCAGATATATAATGTATTATCATGTGAGGTACCAAATTCAATACCAAGACTGGACGACTATATTTTTCTCTGATATATAATATGCTATCACGTGAGGTACCCAGAGGGAAAGCCTACAGTGGTCCGAGATATATATATTATCAAATGAGGTACTAAGACTGGAAGATTACAGTTGTCTCAGATATAAAGTGTTAACAGCCAAGAAAACTATAGTTGTTTCAAATACATAATATGTTAACACAGATATCTGACAGATAACATGGAGTGTCAAGACAGGACGACTGTAGTAGTCTCAGATAGGAGATGTGTTATCATATAGGTGGCCAGACAGGAAGACTGCAGTCTTAGATAGGTGGGTGTGTTATCAACTTTTCATTGGACAGTGTGAAGGAGGCAGATTATTATGCCTTCATGATTGTCGAAACTAGCTACTTTCTTATGAAGATATTTACAACACAGGCAACAGGATGTTACCAACACTTTGCCATTAAAAGGAGAATATATGTGTCAAATACCTTTTACCTATTGTCAGTTGCATCAAGGATTGGTTCAGCAATTCAATCCTTTCTCATAGTGTCTAGTTTCAGGATGTGGAAAAAGAAAGTATATAATAAAACTATATTTAAATGACCTGGGATTGTGATAATTGTGATTGAGTGTTTTATGTGTCCTGTTAGGTGTTTTTATGAAATTTCATATATCATGATATAGATGATTACGCGTAAGTAACATTCTGAAACATCCGTTTTAATCAATAATATTTTTGTTAAATATTTATGGTTGATACAATTTTTAACATGATATTGTTCTACAGTTGTTAATACAGGTTTTAATATGGTCTGCCCAAACAAAATAAACTAATAAAGAAATCTTTCTTTGGCGGTGATCACTGATCAATTAACTTTAACGTTGTGGAACTCAACATGTGTCTGAAAAATCGTCTCTGAGGGCAGATAAACATGGTAAGTGTGTAGTTTGGAAAAATTATGCATGGTTTAACTTCATAGCGGTTAGTACACCCTACCACATACAACAGACTAGGGCTGGGACGAGTCCAAATTTACTACCTGGGTACACACACCCCTATTACCGGACCCTACCTTGGTACCCACTGTAGATCTCAGGAGATGTCTCAAAATGTCTGATTGGGAACATTGCTAATCCTGTTATATCTTTATTCAACAATATAAAAAATCAGAAGGAATGGGTGCATAGTAAAAAAGAAATGCAAACATTAGTGACTTTTAGTGTAACCATAGAGTTCTAGATAATTTTTGTCATTAACCTTTAGCCTGCTGAATTATTTTCACACTTCTTACCCCTGCCTGCTGGATTAATTTTAGCATAAGGCGCTCTAAAGAGGGTGGGTGATTTCAAACAGTTGGTGCGTCATTAAACAAGGGCCAATTGAAGAAATATTTTGCACATTTATTCCTGATAGAAAACTACACAATACTATATAAAAATATCCTGATGTTTTCAATCATACCAAGGTTAAGACCAAAGCGAACACAAAATTTGTAAATTTTCTTGAACTTACCTGAATTGCGTTATTGAAGGTGGTTTGCATTTCATGCTAGGAACCTTTTAATATCGTAACATTTGT